CTCCAAGTTCTTCAAGTCCGACCCCAAAAAGCGGCCGCGGGCTTTTGAGTTGAGCTCAAGCGAATTCCTTGCTACCAATGCGCCCATTATCGATGACGAGGACATTGCTGTGCCGGGTTCCTTGATGCCCATGCCGCAAATGACCCCGCAGAGGATGAGGCACGACTCGATGAGTCGCGGACCCATGTCTTCCAGATACCGACAGGACTATGTGGAAGAGGCTCGTCTTGGAAAAGGAGGGTTCGGAGAGGTTGTCCGAGCCCGCAAGATGATTGACGGACACCTATACGCCATCAAAAAAATTACACAAAGGTCTCAAGAGACACTTTCAGAGATCCTGAAGGAAGTCCGACTGCTTTCCCAGATGAACCATCCGGCTGTTGTCAGATACTACAATACATGGCTGGAGGAGGTGCCGGACTACGCAGACACAGAAGGCGATACTTCAACCGAAGGGGGCGCTACGGACGTTACAGACAACTCTCAGGTGACGATATCCCACGGCATAAATATTGAATTTGCCGAGAGCAAAAGCAGAGGTCTAGATTTCATGTCCTCCAGTGGTCACCCGGGCATTGAGTACGATTACAGCTCGAGTGAAGAAGAGGATAACGACGAAGATGAAGACGATGAAGAAGACGAATCCGACAATGACTCAAATGACGATGCTGCCACTGTAAGCGGCAAGAACCACCTTGGTGTCACAGGACGGCGTCCTCGACGGGGAAGTGCTCGCCCATACAAGACCGTGATGTATATTTCCATGGAGTATTGCGAGAAGCGGGTAGGTTCCCATTATGCCAAAACCAAAACCCGAATGACAGCACTGACTATTCTATAGACACTGCGCGACTTGATTTCTCGGAATCTGTCTAAGGAAACAGCTGAGATCTGGCGCTTGTTCCGCCAAATTCTAGAAGGGCTCTGCCACATTCACAGCCTCAACATCGTTCATCGTGACCTCAAGCCCGAGAATATCTTCATCTCTTCTGGACCTGACGGCCTGGATAACGTAAAGATCGGCGATTTTGGGCTGGCCACTAGCGGACAGTTGGCGATAGACAGGTCAACAGCAAGCTTGGATGCAAGCGACATGACCAGGAGCATTGGCACAGCAGTTTATGTCGCCCCTGAGGTCCGGACGGGTGGCAGCGGCTCTTATACATCAAAGGTGGACGTAGGTTTTTCCCATCCTCCTTGCAAGACTAGACTGACATCATCCCTAGATGTATTCCTTGGGCGTGATTTTCTTCGAGATGTCGTACCCTCCCATGCTTGGAATGCAGCGCGCCATGGTCCTTGAGCAGCTGCGCCAATCCCCTCCCATTTTGCCCGCTGACTTCAAACATATGGATAAAAACCATCTCGAGGTCCTGTTGTCACTGCTGACTCACAACCCTAAAGAGCGCCCTTCGAGCTCAGAGCTTATGAAGAGTGGCAAGCTTCCGATTCAGATGGAAAGCGAGGCGATACGGCGTGCGATTGCTGGATTGTCGGATCCCAACTCACCTTACTACCAAAAGATGCTCGAAACTTTGTTCTCTAGGCCGATTGAACAAGCAAAGGATTACGCCTGGGACATGTCTTCATCTGGGCCATCACCCCAAGAACTCATGCGACAGTTCATCGTCAAGGACACCTTGATATCCATCTTCCGGCGACACGGTGCGGTTGAGGCTCCTACGGTCTGTCTGTATCCCAGCTCTTCGCATTATGGCCAGAACGCGGTCCATCTCCTCGACCAGAATGGTACGGTTCTTCAGTTGCCCTTCGATCTCATGATGGGCCATGCTCGCTCTCTCGCAAGGATCACAAACAGCCCCGTTGTTCAGAAGTCATATTCCTTTGGCAACATCTTCCGTGATCGTCACGGCGGTGGTCAGCCTGATGTGTACGGAGAAGTCGACTTTGACATTGTCACTTCAGATGCCTTGGACCTTGCTTTGAAAGAGGCCGAGGTCATCAAAGTTCTAGACGAGATCGCGACTGCGTTCCCTACCGTGTCGTCTACTCCCATCTGCTTCCAGCTTGGGCATTCGGACCTCTTGAATCTTATCTTCGAGTACTGCGGCGTGGAAGTGGGCACACGCAGGGCTGCTGCTGAGGTCCTCAGTAAGCTCAACATTCGCAATTTCACTTGGCAAAAGGTGCGCGGAGAGCTTAGATCACCCATGGTGGGTATATCGGCAACCAGCGTAGACGAGCTGCAGAGATTTGACTTTAGAGGTAAGTGTGACTTTACACAACGAAAATACTTACACCATCAACTAACCACTTGTTTTAGATACCCCGAGTAAGGCCATCTCGAAGATCAAGCTTCTTTTCGAAGGAACGGAATACTACCAACAGGCTTCATCAACGTTAGCCCATCTCAAAGAAGTGTACGAATACACCAAGCGGTTCGGAGTACAAAACAAAATCTACATTGCCCCTTTAAGCAGCATCAACGAAGCCTTCTTCCGCGGTGGCATCCTCTTTTCTTGCCTGTACGACAAAAAGGTCAAGGATGTCTTTGCCGCCGGTGGCCGCTACGACAGCTTGATTAAGGAACATCGCCCCAAGATCGGCACCCGGTTCGAAGAGCGCCATGCGGTCGGCTTCAGCTTGAACTGGGAGAAGCAGCTCGCCAAGCCCGTCCCGAAGGCCACCGGCAAAACATTCCTCAAGAAGGCGGCCGAAGAAGAGAGTCAAGGCCTCTTCAACATCAAACGCTGCGACGTCCTTGTCGCTTCTTTCGACCCCGAAGTCCTCCGCTCCTCTGGTATTGAGCTCGTCCAGACGCTTTGGGCGCACTGCATCTCGGCCGAGCTGGCCCGTGACGCCCGCTCGCCCGAAGACTTGCTCTCCAAGTACCGCGACGAGTCGTACTTGTGGGTCGTCATCATCAAGCAGGACAACATGCTCAAGATCAAGAGCATGGCCCGCAAGGACGCGCCTGACGCTGATATCCCCGCCAAGGAGCTGCTCAACTGGCTGAAGGCCGAGATGCGCGAGAACAGGGACGCTCTCATGCGCGGCACGGGCAGCGGCAGTATATCTTCGGGAGCGGCCATCAAGTTTCGCGGCGGCGGCGGCAGCGGTGGCGGCGGCGGTCTCTCGTCCTTTGGCACGAACAACTCGGAGCTGAACAGCGGGTTGTTCCTAGGTGCGGACGGCGAGCGCGAGCAGGAGGTGCACGTGCTCGTGGCGCAGACAAAGAGCAAGAAGTTCAACCGCCGGCAGGTGGTGGAGCAGGCGCAGATGAGTGCGGCGAGGCTGTTGCAGAGCTTTCTGGACGGGCCGATTGCCGCGATCGAGACTTCGGATAGCGTGATAGAGATGATACGGCGGACGAGCCTGAGCGATGCGGAGAGCTGGCGCAAGGTGGAACACAATGTGGGCACGAGCGAGAAGAAATATGTCAAGGAGATTCACGATATGTTGAAGGGGTGGAGGTGGGAGTGGGAGGCCAAGAAAGGATCGGAGCACGCGTTTGTGTATAATTTCAGGACGGGGAGGTGCATCTATTACGACTTGTCGGCTTGATCGGGTCGGCAGGGTGTTGAAGCCCTGGGGAGGTACCTAGCTGGGTAGGATACGTTGGTTGATGGTGGGTTGGATGTGTGTATAATAGGTATACAGTTGTAAGGCTACTAATCCCACCTAAAGGCATCACTGCTCTTTCAGATTGTCGGTGATCCCCTGAAACACCAACTCAACTCAAGTCAGCCTCATATACAGAACCCTAACCCTTCTGTCACAAGTGAAACGCCCGACCATCTCCCTCACTATGGGAAGAGCACCCTGCTGGCCAACAAGAGGTTCGTTCGCACACAAGAAGCCAGGAAGAAGACCGATTGCGGAGTTGAACTGACCATCAAGGTCCTTGCCTACTGTTACCCACCGGATCCATTAACTGCCTGGCATGGACGTTTCCCATCCTTGGTTTACGAGAAATTGGGAACCGCTGCCAGTATGCGAACGAATCTCCTTCCCTCATGTTGGGTAACACGCTACCTGTACCTACTCTTATTTACAGCAAAGTGTTATGAATGACGGGTATATGATGCTTGAAAACAAATGCGAATGTGGATTCGATTAAGGCATCGATCATTTGATGTCCAGTCAACCTAACAGGACAACATGGAACTGCGTCACTTCTTTGTAGCTTCAGTGGACCGTGATCTACTTGGGGAAATTGTTAGTGCATCCTCTGAAACATCCGATAACTGCAATTCTGACCACCACCAACATGCCCTATCACCATGCTCATTTGTCAGTGGCAAAGGAACTGTACCGTTGTGTCGTCCCGTCTTGCCTTGCGGGTAGATTGTACATGATTGTCTGATGGTTATAGATGTATATTCATGCCATCTGGACCGAGGACTTGCAAAAAGCCAGCTTCAGAGTTTGCCTTTCAGACAAACTCAAGAAGCCCCCCCCTTCTTCCTCAGGGAGAGAAAAAAAAAAGTTGGCTGTTCTGGGAGGTTCCGCCTGCTTTGTAAAGGTTGACGGGCAATTACAATACGATAACATGGAAGGGCGGGGATTACCGCCTCCCTCCTTTGGCGATACTCCTGTCAGGTGTATTGGTCTTATGTAGATGTAAGTAGGTACCTATGCCGAGAGCCCGAGACCGCCATTGTGCAGCGGCGTTGACCACCATTGACAAACGTAAGGCGAGACATGCAGTTGATAGAATTCCCCAGTGCCTCGCTCAGCTCGGCTGCTGCACCACCATGGAAGAAGGAAGTTGGGCAATGACGGGACCATCACAAATGGGTCTGGGTTGCTTCGTCTTAGTAGTAGACTTGAGAGTGCGTGCTAGAGACTGCCCAACCTCTATCCGGGTCCTCGCTCCGAGGAACCTAAGGGAAGCGTGACCCTGCCATGATTCCATCGCTCACATCGTAGTAGTTCACACACCTTTTCCTGATCCGGTTGTGACGCTCGTACGCCCTTTTCCTCCCGTCTGACCCTGCTTTCTCCTGACTCGCAACCTCTCTATTGTTCCAGATTGTCACCGCCCAGCCTTTGATTTTCAACCCACTTCCCAAAGACCACCATCGTGACAAACCGTGAACTTCTATCCCGACCGTCCGTGCTTCCATAGTCTATTCCCAGGCATTGTTTGGTTATCGTTATCATCATTCCATCCCTCTTTAAAAGATCAATACCCACTCCGACCTTCACCTCCGACCGTCTGACAATCTTCCCAAACACCCGCCCGCCTCTTGCCAACATCCCATCAAACTACAAATACCACTATTTTCCTCCCGAGCCCCCGATCTTGCGCACGAGAGGAATCTTCGTCAGCATTTTACGTGTCGATCCCTTGACGAGCCACCACAACATATCTACTTCACCACCACCGCCACCACCAACGAAGTAAAGTGGGCTTTTCCAGCGGCAGCCCATTTTTTCTTTTGTCAACCTCCGCCACCGGCACCTCGCCTTCACTTCCGTAACCACATTGTGCCATGTCGTACAGGACAACAGCGTCGGGCGCTACAACGCGCCTGATGAGTGAGATGAAGACGCTACGAAAGGAGAAGTGGATTCACTTTGAAGATGTATGTTCTAGTACCGTTCGTTCTTTTCCCTTGCCGGTCTGTCTTTCGTGGGCGCAGTACCCGCACGTCGATTCTAGTATCACTACACCTCCACTACGGAACCTAGACTGACGCTCACTTCTTTGGCGTAAACAGGACGATTCTGCGACCCTCAACATCCTCAAGTGGCGCTTCGGCCTCATGGTCATCAACCCCGACAGCGCCTTTAACGGGGGGTACTTCCGGGCCGAGATGGTATTTTCGGACGAATACCCCTACCAGCCGCCCAAGTTCCGCTTCCTGATCCCCATCACCCACCCCAATGTGTATCCGGACGGCCAGCTCTGCATCTCGATCCTGCACACACCCGGCGAGGACCTAATGTCTGGCGAGCAGGCGAGCGAGCGTTGGTCGCCGCTCCAGGGCGCCGAGAGTGTGCTGAGGTCGGTTCTGTTGCTGCTGGACGACCCTGAAATCAACAGCCCCGCCAACGTAGACGCGGGCGTCATGTACCGCGACCGCCGAGAGGATTACAACAAGAAGGCCCGGGAAACGGTGGAGAGATCAAAGAAGGATATCCCGCCAGGATTCGAGATGCCGGTCAGCTTTGAGGAAAAGCCGCCTCCGAAGGCGGAGAACGACGACGACTTTTGGGCCGAGTCGGATGAGGAGTTTGACTTTGGTGGTAGTGACACCGGGGATGACGACGAGATGGAGGACTTTGAGGACGGGGAGGAAGGGAGCGAGGATGACGACGACGATTCCAACTCCAAGCAATAGACGGACTTGCTTGCTTGCTTGCTTGCTTGCTTGCTTGCTTGCTTGCTTGCTTGTTGTTTCTTCAACAGCAGCAGCAACCGTTTTTGTCGTCGTTGTCAAGCTGGGATGGATTTGGTCCGGGTCAGGATGGTGATGATATACCTTCCTCTTTCTTATTCTTGTTCTTTTCAACCCGTGATATTTGCATAGCGTCGGGGACACTCGCGGTGTGTTTGGGCGTTTTCGTGGTCTCCCAAGCAGACATATCTGGTGGGAATTTCATTGGTCGCTTTTTTACATACAGAGACACACCGTCACCCAAGTACTTGCCTATCCTTAGCCACAATGTTCTTGCACAGCGGAAGACATTGGCAAAGACGGGAAGCGATCTGGCTTCATAGTTACATAGAATACCTTTAGCGGAAACGTCTAGACTAGAGCTATAGACTCAACTTTCGTTTTCATGGAGCGATGAGCGGATGTAGCCCCGCGATGGCATCGCTTAGTTCAAAGAGCCGAATGGCCCGTCTTGAGCCCGTGCACGATGTCAGAGCCCAAGACCTCCGTCCCTTGACACAGTGAAGAAGGGCCCGGGCCCCGGGGATGTCCCCTCAGCGGCCGAGCAGTTGGCCTCCGAAGCCCCTCCATCATCCCCTCGTGGGATACCCATTTCTGTACAGCAAGTGAATTTTGTGAGCAGGCCGAAACTGATGAGAAACCGAAGGATACCTGCCCGACGCTCCAAGATCATGCATCTCTTCTTGGCTTTCGTTGTCATCATCCACGTTTACCCCGGCCCTAAGGCAAAACCTAACGGAGTACCTCAATACCTTCCCCCCATTCCCCGCAGCTTTTGCCATCAAAAGCTGCCCCTGCCGCCTTGTTTGTGCACCTACTGTAGGTACGGGGCTCGGGTACCTCATCAAGCAGCTCTTGCATTTCATTGTCTGACAACGTAAGGGCAAACAACATCCCAATCTGGCTTCCCATCATCCCGTTCGCCCTGTCTTCGTCCAACAGCAACAACAACAATAACAACAAAAAGTAAGAGCAGGGCTATCCTTCGCCCACTTCATCCTTTTCGCTCTTAAAGCCAGCAAAGTAGCTCGACAAACGCCAAGAAATAGTACATTCCAAACGTCTCCTGCCCCGACCCCCGGTCCCGTCTCGCAGGCCCTGCCCATCAAGGTCGCCATCGCTGCCCCGCCGATCCGATATCATTAAATCAAAGTAGCCTACGCAAACCTCAACTTACCAGCTCTCTCCTACTCGCTTCGGCCATCCAGTCGCCATACAATTCGCCGCCCTCCTCTGACCCAATTTACAGCTTTACACAAATCGATAGGGCTTTTTGCGATCAGGATTCTCTTCTCTTTTTGACCGACGCAAGCTGCTTCCCTCCCCTCCACCCCGGTGGCCAAACTATCTCTCCATCACTGGCAGCCCAGCTACATCTCAACCACCTGCGGCACGCTCCGACCAGGAGCGCGAGACGCTGGGACTGTTGGCGGCACATAGTGGTGAACGAGCGCAAGAGCCGACTACAATTCGCACGACGGTGATACGGCTAGCGGCGCAAAAGAGGAACATCGGACACCATGGATGACTACCAGGAGAAAATCCAAATGGTGCGCGCCATCACCAATTACGGTGATGAGCCAACCATCGCAGCTGCTCTGCGAGCCAAAACTGGTGACTTGGAAGCGGTCATCAATATGATCCTAGACGACTTGGATAAGGTTAGATTCCAGCGCACCACCCCGCGGGGATCATGTTGAGACGGAAATGGGATACTGACGCGCGGGGTACAGTTTCAGAAGACCTACGCCTGGGATGAAAGTGTGTTTAATGCGAATCGTGAAGGTGGTGGAGTTACAGCTGTTTATGGGCCTAATCAGTGTAAGCTTTCTGTTTTACTTCGACTCTTAAAACTGCTTGAATACCATGTTATAATCTTTTGCTAACAAGCTCGGGTTAGCTTTCCATATTCAGCCTCCAGACAACAACAACAACAACCCCGTTCTCTACGGATACGACCCGGGATATGATCCCACTGCTCCATCTCGGCCCCCTTCGAGGGTTGACAATCGGTCTCCGATCGGACGCGCGGTGGAAATGACTACCGGCACATATCCCTCCGGTGCCCCGACGAACCAACAGGAAGAGGACGCACAGCTACAACAAGCCCTTGCGGCTTCGATGAATCCTTCGGGCATGCACACCCCTCAGCCGAGTACCAACGGACATTCATTACCGCCGCAGTTGCCCCCTCCACCCCCACCCCAAGAATCGGGCGTCACTAGCAATGGCGCATATTTTGGTCCAGCGAATAGGACGGAATATGATCCGAATCAATGGGCCATGGTTCCCCTCAGGCTTCGCCAAACGGATCCAAGACCAGTCAGCAGAGTAAGGGCTCCCGGGAGCCCGGCTTTTTTGAGGAACCGTTCCGAAAATTCGACCAACCGACACCGTATCGGTGGAATTTTGACGATATTACACTCCATCCCCGCCGCACGGAACGCGCTGCTCCAGATAGGGGCTGCGCCGGAATACGGCTATGGAAGCAACAGTGAATGGTGGAAGGGACAGAAGATTCTTCCCCCGGAGCTCCAGGCACGTAGTGAACAAATTGACTCGGGACGGGATCAGTTGGTTCCCCCGTGGTCGGACGAGCTTCATCGCTTGGTAGCATTCCTGGACTCAACAGAAAGAGCCTACGGCACGGCAGACATCTTGGCGGACTGCAGAGCTCCCGGGGTCGAAGAGCGCTGGGATAGCGAGAAGGAATTCTTCGACAGCCACTTGGAGATGCTGAAAGCTAGAAATGATGGCAGCTGGGACGATCTCACCATGTGTTATAAAAAGTCCCTATACGGCACAGCAGAAGGCTCCTCGGAAGAACATGTCAACATTCTGGACTGCGAAGGTGTCGATCTTACCACAGGCAACCTCTACGGCTGTCTTGATAAGGTATTTTGGGTGGACCGGAATACTTCAATAGAGTCATTGGATGGCGCCCCCTACAGCACCATAAGTAAGCTTCCTGAGGTACTCACGATTGGGCTTAAAGCATCACAGGGACTCCCGGCAGCTCTTGACATACCCGAGACGATATACCTTGACCGATACTTGGCATCCAATGAAGAGAAAATCAACGAACTACAAGCAGATCTATCAAGACTTGTGTACGCATATCGCAAATGTGTGGAGGAGGAGGAAAGGTTGACAACATGGAGCAATAACCAAACGGGCAAACCTGTGGATCGTCGTACTTTGATCGCAGACAGTATTGAACGCTGCAAAGACCATATCCAACAAGTCAAAAATCGGGCATCCTGGAGGAACTTTCAAGAGTCAAGTTCCGATGTTGGCGACAATGGGAATGGTTACCAGCTTTATCTAGCGGGCGCTGATAAGGAGGCTCCGGTCTCACCGGAGGAGGCGAACGTCATCGCTTATTACGAGCGCAAGATCAAATTTCTGACAGAACAGGCAGCCAGAATTGAACAGATCATGCAAGGTAGGGTCACTGTGGCCACTCTCTAAGGCTAATTTCTTCTTCCATATGCCATCAGATGTACTAAACTTGCTGACCTACTGATTTACAGGCACTATTGCGCCACAAAAACGACGCATTTTGGACGCTTTGGACCAACATAGCAAGGTTCTCACTGTTCCTGCCCCGGACAATTCATGGGTCCCCACGGCCAGATATACTCTTCGTGGCATGACAAGCGAGCCGAACACAGTGTTCTTGCGGAAACAGGAAGTAGAGCTTATTGACCTCGACAATGGTGAGGTTCCTGCGGAACAGTGGTATAAGATTTGGTGCTATTCCGAGAACAACTATGCCGTGCAGATCGAAGTAAGTTTCTCTGCATAAGATCCATGAGACCGACAGTGATGGGCGGATCGGGCTTGCTAACGTTATATTATCAGAAAACAACCTACGAGACTGCTATTTCGCAGGCTTGCGCGGTCGGCACTGAACCTCTTCTGATTTACGCTTCGGACAAGGCAATGAAAACTGAACCGATCCCGATGAATGACGCTCTAAAGGCCTTTATCAGGTTTGACAATAAGTTTTTCAGCCAAGAGCTGGCGCAGAATGAGCACGAACAGCACGAAGACTCCAGAAAGCGTGGACCCATCTCGATGTCGTCTCCGGACTCGAAAAGACGTAACAGGTCCAACAGTCTCGACTCAATGGCCACTAATCACGCATCAGCGGGGGACCTAGATGAGGAAATGCGTGACGAAGAATTCGTCGAATTTGCCAGCGGATCGGTGTACGGAAGCAGCGCGGAGAAGGCCACCACCAGCTCTGACCATGATATGATGGACGGTCTCCCTCCTTCCTTACGTCAGGAAGATGGCCGTGCTCCGCATCCCAATACTTTAGTCGACCTGCTCACACCACCCTATGAAGAAAAGGTAGAGAGCAAGGAAAAGGAGTCATCGAACATTGATACCTCGATGGATGCCGCATCAGAAAGGATGAGGCGGGTGTCCCTTGACGAGGACAAGATGGATGTCGAGTGGGGTCAAGCGGAAGTCGTCACCAACACCGTTCGCAGCCAGGGCAGCGGATCCAGTGCCCATACTGAGGACTCTGGTATTACCCTGAAGCCAACTAAAGGTGCCGACGATGGCACCACACCGGCGAAGAGCCCAGAGATGCAAGAGCGCAGTAACAATCCCTTTCTCGCCAGGGCACCCAACACTTCCATTGCCGCGACGACTTCAGACAGCACCCCACAGCCATATAGCCGCGCTACTATGGACTTTTAGGTAGAGGAATTAGCGCCTCAATACGAGGGGTTTGAACCAAACATTGCTTTCCCGCGTATTCACACGCGAACTAGAAAGTTGTTTGAGAATGATCGTTCAAGAGCTCGGATTGGTGGCTATGCGTCATGGACAGACTGTTCGAGCAAGAGTTCTTCTCCACCATTCGCAAAAAATAGAGACTCCAACACTGCGTACAAGCAACAGGACTTAGCACGCTCCGAGTCACACAAGCCATCTGACCCGGCAATGCCCCAGACCCTGGACAAGGATCACCCCATAAACGATGGGGATCAGAAAGAGACGCCCAAACGAAGCAGAGCGTATCCCCGGTGGAAAGTTTGCCGAGACGTGCAAGGCTGCATTCGAGCCCCGAATGCCCAAAGTCTTGAAGTCGGACTGGACGTGAAGTCGAGTCTCAGACCGAGCTGTGGCGAGAAGCAGCATCGGAGGAGTTGAGTGGATGATTGGTTCGCGAGCTTCCTCGATGGTGTCATAACTTCGAGAACACAGCGACTTTGCTTAACGATATCTGTGACACTTTAAGCAGATGAGTTTGCATAGCGGAACTCTATTCGACTCGAAGATGTTATGTTTCTATGTGACATGCATCCATCACAAAACTAGTGAACAGTTTTGCGTACTTGCATGTTAAGCGATGAAGAGCAAAAGATTCGGAGGGGAATAGTGGGCAGGGTAGTGTTGTGATCAATGCAATAGGACATGATACCCTACGTGGGGCAGCCGCTTTGTGAAGAAGAACAGTGGCCAGTCCGTATAATGCTTTGTGTCAGTGTGCCGAAATGACTGTTTGAAATGACGAAAAGGGCGGGCTGACTGAGAAAATCAGCGGATGTACGAACTTATTGATTAATACCTAGGTAATTGTGCTCCTGCACCGTCATCAAGATTGACTTGAGGCAACGAACCTTAAGATGGACCATGGTCATTATAAGCAGCTGAACTAAACAAAGTCAACAGCAATAGTCGGAGCTCGAATAGTGTAGTGGTTATCACGTTCGCCTCACACGCGAAAGGTCCCAGGTTCGAAACCTGGTTCGAGCAACGTTTTTGCGTCCTTTTTGGTCTAATATCTAATTTGGCTGTCGAGCTTATGCAGCTTCGGAAAGCGCGACAAACAAAGGAACGAGGTCGGAATAGGGGGGGGGGGGGGAGTGGAGTTCCAGATGCGCTCACCTTTTTGGGCTGTTCTTGTGTAGGTACCATAGTACTTAGTGTATGACCGTTGAGGGCTCTTGCCTGCCGCGCAAAAACCCCACCTTTAAGACCTGTCCCACTTCCGACATCATCCTTTTTCTTCCATCTTTCCGTGCGGGGGGGCGGGCGCACCCACGCAAGAGCTATGATGCTTGTCAGTGGGGTTTTGACGCTGTGAGCTGTCTGTCCCGTCCCGTCTCTCGGATTTGGCGAATTCCAACCATCTTCCGATTCCACAAGGCGACCGATACTGTAAATCACCATCAGCTGCCGACGAATCGCGCAGATATTTCGAGGTTTTGATTGGCATCTGTATATCAACGGTCTAGTTGCGAGCAATCAGCGGTATAACTCGAACATCGCTTGGGCCGATATCCACGATAGGAACCGATTACGTACAGCATCAGGGGCAGTGTCACGAACTTCACGTCGCCAACCAAATCACTCGAACCACACAACAACATATTTGCGCCATCATACCCGCAACAGCACAGCCATGGCCTCAAAACAAGACGCCAAGATCCAAAAGATCATTGCGCGACTACAAAAGCGCATCGCCGAGGGCCAGTTCGAGGAGCAGTACGAGGCCGGGCAGGAGACGAGGTTGGTTGCGGCGCGGTACACAAAAGCGGAGAATTGGCCGGCCGCCATCGACATTCTGTCCAGCGTGTCGCAGGCGCTGCTGAAGGCCGGAGCGGGCGGCGCCGGTGGCGATCTCGCCATCTTGCTGGTGGACGTTTACAAGCAAGGCAAAGTCAAGCCGGATGCGGCGTCGCGCGGGCGGCTGTTGACGTGTTTGAGGCTGTTTGAGTTTGAAGAGCCGACCAGGAAGAAGTTTGTGAAGGAGGTTTTCGAGTAAGTCTTCTTTCCAACTGTAACGCGGGTTTGCACAGAAAGGAGAACAAGATATAAAGAAAATTGAAAAAGCAAGAAGAGGGACTAAATCTTTCATTTGAACAGCTGGTCACGAAAGTTTGGCGACTACCCTGCCGGCGACCCGGAGCTGCACCACGTTGTTGGCACCCTAGCCGCCGAGAAGCACGAGACGGATGAGGCCGAGAAGCATTTGGTTCTAGGCACCAAGGAGTCGGCCGAGGTGCTGACGCGCATGGAGTACGAGTGGTACAAGGACAGCGAGCAACCGCACACGGCCGCCCTCTTCGCCGCCCGCGCCATCCTGCCGTATCTGCTGCTGGCCAATGTCCGCGCGGCCAACACGTCATACCGCGCTTTTGTCTCGGCGCTCACGGCCGAAAACTCGTCGCTCGGCGTGCAAAACGTGGAGAGTTCCCAGGGTAGTGATATCCGCATCTTCCCGAGCTTGCCGCTGCTGAATTTCTTGGGACTGTTGCTGCTGGCGGTGCAGAAGGGAACCCCGGATCTGTTCAGGCAGTTGAAGACGAAATATGCGAGCAATCTTGCCGAGCTGGGGGGAGCGTGGGACGGCGCGCTGGAGATGATTGCTGAGATGTACTTTGGTATTCAAAGGCCAAGGCAGTCTAACCCATTGCTGGATATGATGGGTAGCTTGTTCGGCGGCGGCGGTGGCGGCGGTGGTGGTGCGGGTGCTGCTGGTGGCAGGCCGCCAGTGAGGAGGGTCGAGGCGGCGCCTACTGCTGAGGGACTGGACTGAGAAGAAAAGAAATGGTGAAGAGGGATGGCTTTCAGTAAAGGAAGGCGCAGACGTTTACATTGGTTTTCGCTTTATGCTCTGCCCATAGTCTACTAGAGGTAGGATCCTATTAAAGGTGAAAATGGTAATCATAGGGGGGTATACGCTGGTTATGCTAAGATAATACAACAATCCAAGGGGAAAGAAGCCCAAGTAGTGTGCTGGAAGAAAGAACTCGGAGAAGGAACCAGACCCAACTACCAACCAGTCTCGTTACCATGAATGCAATCCAGTCGTGTCAACAAATGCGTGCTGCTCGTCACTCAATCATCCCTCCCCAATCAGTCAGTGCAAATGAAGTACCTCCTCTCTCTCAAACATCCAATTATCTTCCGATAACGCCGCGACCTTGGCCTTCAAGCTCGCCTTGACTGCCTCCAGGAGATCTACATTCAGTCGTCAGCCGTCTTTCCTCACATGTAGCGCCCATGGCGCAACTGAAGCTTGAAAAACATACCTTCAGTATCCATCCCACCCCCTCCTCCCCCACCAGCACCTTCTCCTCCCCCTCCTCCTCCAGCCCCCTCTGGCCCAACATCCCCCCTCCCCTCTGCCTCGTGCTCCGTCAACCACTCCCTCACCGCATCCGCCAACCTCTCCCTTTCCTTCTCCTGCTCCATTCGGGCCTCCATGATCGTTTCCATCTCCTCGTCGTAGGGGGGCGTGGGAGGGTCGTGGCCCAAGTCAATTTCTCCAGTTTCTTTGTCGCGGATGACTATTTCGAGGTTGGGGTCTGTGATGACGTCGGTTAAGGGTGGGGATTCTTGTGAAGAGGTCATTTTGGTGTCTTCTTCGTGGTGTTGTGGTAGTTGTTGGTGTTGTTGACTGAGAAGATCTTGGGGGTAGGGGTAGGAGTCGGAGTAGGAAGAAGGTTGGGTGAGGTAAGAAGCTTGTGGGTGAGGTATATGTGACTGAAAGTTGCTCTGGTGGATTTGAGAGTGAGAGGTCTGAAAGGTCTGAGACTGAAAGGATTGTTGGGATTGAAAGTGTCCTTGAGACTGAGTATCTGGAACAACAGTGGGCTGTCGGGATGCATGGGCTGGTTGTGATTGTGGCTGTTGGAACAGGTTGCGGCGGACGGATGCTCCGACTCTTGCGCCCGCTCCCGCTCCTGCTCCGGCGGAGGAAAGTCCGGTGTGTGGAGGAGGCGCAGTTCGCGAGGGAGCAGCTGGTTTGAAGTTGGGCCCGGGACGACGGTCGGCCATTTGTGTGGATGTTGTCTTCTTGGTCTTGAGGTTGGAGTAAATGCGTTGGTTGGTATGACTTTTGGGTTTGGCAGTTCAGTCAAGTTAAACTGTGAATGTTATTGAGGTAGACCTCGTGTACTCGAGGGAGCGATACTTTACAGACTTTGTTGCCTGGACCTTCCAAGGGATAATAACAAGTGATGTAAGGTTATGCAATTACTTGGTGAAAGTTGTAAGTGGTATGAGAGAAGACGCGGGGCATACCCCGGTCGCCGCACCGCGAGAAACGTGAAGTGGAGGAGGACAGGGTTAGGGTCTGACACGAGCTCACGTGCTTCGATTAAAGCAACCGGGCGGCATCATCCAGTTCTAAAGTTGCCATTCGCAAGCTCGAGGATGTGTTTGAATTTGTTCGAATGGGCTACTTAATACCGGTACAGTCACTTGGGTTCGTCGATAGAAAGACGTTGTCCGCAAACGGTGCTTTGACTAGGTGGTACTAATGCAAGAGGTACCTCGTCCTATCTGCAGGGGTTAAAGAGGTGCAGTTACAGGTAATTAACGGCGCGATGTAAAAGTGGGTGCTTGTCACGTAACAAAGACGTTCGTCGCGTAGTATAGTCGCGATTCCCATTTCATCCCATTTACAATTCACATTCTCCGTCCCCTCTCTCCAACCAGACGTATTCTCTTTGGCTGTCATCATTGCTCTTTTTTTTGGTCTTCGCCAAAGACGACACTGAATTTTCCACAAACAATAACCCCATGTCCTGAAAGACGTCCGTCTTTGTGGATCCTATCCTAGCCGACCTCTACCACAGGCACTCAACTTCCAAAGAGCCAGAATGGCGCCCTCAGCGTTGCCCCAGAAGCGCGCGTTTGGCGAGGCGTCAAGCGCCCGCAGCAATATTCACAATCTTCCCGCCGCTTCATCAGATTCAGCCAAGAAAAGACGCCTCGACGATGTCCCTCCCTCTTCCCGCTTCCGAACTTTCAAGAATGACGGCAAGGGCAGGATACCCTCTACCCAACCCAAGAGCGCCTTCGAGAGCGAGGTGCTTGAGCGTATGAGCCAGGATATTTCCGATCTGAAACAGAATAACTCGGAAAAGGATCAAGCTTGGGAACGCCCGCCACTACCAGCGACCTACAACCCAGCTACAGACAGTCTCTGCTTCCAGTCCATTGAGGCTGAAGAGGGATTCCTCCACGGCGGCCAAGCGACCATTAAGCTGTTTGGTGTTACTGAGAATGGAAACTCGGTCCTCCTCCATGTCAAAGACTTCAAACACTACCTCTACGTTCAAGCCCCTGTATCGTTTGGTCCCGATGATTGCCCCAAATACAGAGCATTCCTCGAAACGCAGCTCGCCATGCCCACACCGGCCATCCATTCGGTCACCCTGACGATGCGCGAGAACATGTACGGCTTCCAAGGCAACACACAAAACCCTTATATCAAGGTCACCGTCAACGACCCAAAGTTCCTTCCCAGAGTTCGAAGATTGATCGAAACGAACAAAGCCAACTGGAAGGGCATGTGGAAGAGCGATGGATCTATCATGACCTTTGATGATATCCAGTATTTGCTTCGGTTCATGGTTGACTGCTCGGTATGCCACCCCCTCGCACTACCCCCGAGATTCCCCAAGCTAACAAACACCAGATTGCTGGTATGTCTTGGGTGGAGGCTCCCGCAGGCAGCTATCAGCTTGTCAACGATAAACATTCCAACTGTCAGATCGAAGCCGAGATGAGCTACCGGGACCTAATAGCACACAAGCCCGTTGGCGAATGGTCCAAGATGGCACCTCTTCGAATTCTCTCCTTCGATATCGAGTGCGCTGGCCGCAAGGGCATCTTTCCCGAACCGCAACACGACTCCGTCATTCAGATCGCAAACATTGTCACAAAGTACGGAGAGAAGAAGCCATTTGTCCGTAATGTGTTCTGTCTTGACACCACTAGCCCCATCGTGGCTACCCAAATTCTGTCTTTTGACAGGGAAGAGGACATGCTCCGCGAGTGGCGCAACTTCCTGGAACAGGTCGATCCGGATATCATCATCGGTTACAATATCGCCAACTTCGATTTCCCCTACCTTCTCGACCGAGCTAAACATCTCAAAGTCAAGGATTTCGACTTTTGGTCTCGTACCAGGGTGAGATCTGTCGCAAAGGAGACAAACTTCTCTAGCAAGCAGATGGGCAATCGTGACACCAAGGCTACAAATATCAACGGACGGCTTCAGCTCGACATGCTCCAACTGGTACAACGCGACTACCAGTTGAGGAGTTACACCCTTAATTCTGTCTGCTCACACTTCTTAGGGGAGCAAAAAGAAGACGTTCATCATTCCATGATCACAGAATTGTTCGAAGGCACACCAGAATCCAGGCGACGTCTTGCACTTTATTGCTTGAAGGACGCCTACTTGCCGCAAAGGCTGATGGACAAGCTATCATGTTTAGAAAACTACACGGAAATGGCAAGAGTCACGGGTGTGCCGTTCAACTTCCTCTTGGCCAGAGGTCAGCAAGTCAAGTTCTTGAGTCAGCTTTTCCGCAAGGCTTTGGAGCAGAAGCTGGTCATTCCCAATCTACGTCCCGAGTCCTCGGAAGAGCAGTACGAAGGTGCTACTGTCATTGAGCCTACAAGAGGCTATTACGATGTGCCAATTGCGACTCTCGATTTCGCTTCACTGTATCCCAGTATCATGCAGGCGCACAACCTTTGCTACACAACACTCATCAAGAAGCGGGATATCGAGAGATGGGATTTGAAGAAGGACGAGGACTACATTGTTACTCCGAACGGAGACATGTTTGTGACGACTAAGCAGAGGAAGGGTCTTTTGGCACAGATTCTGGAGGAGTTGCTCTCTGCCAGAAAGCAAGCGAAGCGCGAGTTGGCCGTAGAGAAGGACCCATTCAAGAAGGCTGTGCTGAACGGTCGTCAGTTGGCCTTGAAGGTCAGCGCCAACTCCGTCTACGGTTTGACGGGAGCCACAAACGGCAAGCTTCCTTGCTTGGAAATCGCCAGTAGTGTCACCAGTTTCGGTCGTCAAATGATCGAAAGGACCAAAAAGGAGGTAGAGGAGCGGTATACCATTGCCAATGGCTACTCTCACGATGCTCAGGTCATCTACGGTGATACCGATTCCGTCATGGTCAAGTTTGGAACCAAGGATCTTGCTGAGGCCATGAAGCTCGGCCAAGATGCCTCCGAGTATGTCTCGGGCAAGTTCGTCAAGCCCATCAAGTTGGAGTTCGAAAAGGTCTATTTCCCGTACCTTCTCATTAACAAGAAGCGTTATGCGGGTCTGTACTGGACCAAGCCTGAGAAGTACGATAAGATGGACACCAAGGGTATCGAGACGGTTCGTCGTGACAACTGCTTGCTAGTTCAGACAGTTATCGAGAAGGTTCTTAGGATGATCCTTATCGACCAAGACGTCCCTGGAGCCCAAGCGTAAGAGTTTGCCAAATTTATCCCTTTTGCCATTGCCAACATCGCGCTAACTTACTACCCCCAGATATGTCAAAGACACCATCGCCGACCTCCTGCAAAACAAGATCGACATGTCTAAGCTCGTCATCACCAAGGCCCTGACCAAAGAGAACTACGACGCCAAGCAAGCTCACGTCGAGCTCGCGCAGCGCATGAAGAAGCGCGATGCCGGTTCTGCCCCGGGGCTCGGCGACCGCGTCGCCTACGTCATGGTAAAAGGCGCCACGGGCTCCAAGAACTTTGAACGCTCCGAGGACCCCATCTACGTGCTCGAGCACAACGTGCCCATCGACACCAAGTACTATCTGGACAACCAGCTGGCCAAGCCTTTGGGCCGCATCTTCGAGCCTATTCTGGGCGAGACCAAAGCCAAGTCACTCTTGCACGGCGACCACACCCGCGTCGTCTCAGTCGCCGCCCCGACCGTCGGGGGACTCATGAAGTTCGCCAAGAAGACGCAGACCTGCATGGGCTGCAAGAAGCCGCTGACGGGCAAAGAGGAGAGCCAGGGCGCTGTCTGTGCGGATGATGCTCCGAGAGTGGGTGAGCTGTACAAGAAGACGCTTGATCGGGTGTCGGATCTGGAGGTCAGATTCGGCAGGCTCTGGACTCAGTGTCAGAGGTGTCAGGGGTCGATGCACTGCGAGGTTATCTGCAGTAGCAAGGACTGTCCGATTTTCTACATGCGGATGAAGGCTAAGAAGGATCTGGAAGATGCGAACAAGGAGTTGCAAAGATTTGATTTCGATGCGGCTGCTATGTGGTGAAAAGGATAGGTATGGGTATTTGAGGGCTGGGATGGGATGATTGAGTATGCGGCCAGCATGTATCATGAAGGATGGGATAAGTAACGGCTGTCTAAACCAAGTGTAAAGGTATCATATTGGTATATTGAGGCGTTTTGGTATGGAGATTGTTGTCGTGGAGTTTTGGCGATTGGAGGTATTTGCTATCTAAAGTATAGGAGAAAATGACGTGTGAACCTATTCGGAAGAATATCACACGTATTCATCATTGATCTTCGTCGGACTAGAAACGAGTTAGAGAGGAGTGGTATTGGGTTATTATCGTGGATCGCCAATCACTCCTGTACCGATATGAATCTCCGGGCCTGCCCGAGTATTTTGCTCAGTGTCTATGTACGCACTCTTCTACTCGTCATGGTATCAACCTCATTCCCAATTTATGATTTCCTTTGAATATTTCACAAGAGAAAACCAATACCAAGTCAAGAACCAGACGCTGTACCGGTAAAAAAAAAAGAGAAAAGCAGAGTGAAATATCCAACTTTTGTCGGAAAAAAAAAAACTGATCCCCATGGTTCCAAAGTTATCATCAAGGTCCGTGGTCGTCACCCTTGTCTCCTTATCATGGCTCTCAATGGAGCAACTCCCCAGAATCTACCATCGCTTTGAACTCATCCTGTGGCTCCACAAACTTGTACGTCTCCCCTCTGCACACCCTATCCACCTCCTCCCTCACAAACGGATAGACATCCTTCCAAGCATTCCGCCCCATCCACACATCCAGGTGTCCATACCCAGGCACAACGCGCCTCTTGTAGCTCGTGTCGTCCATGCCAAAAGTATCACACAAGATCTCGTATGTGCGCTCGGTCGACTCTGGTGATAGCACGGCTTGGTCGCGGCCGACGAACAGCAGGAACGGGATGCCCTTGAGCCGTTGGATGTTTTCGGGCGTGTCGAGGCGCTGGCACAGGGGCTCGTTGGCCATGACGTGGCCCTCGGCGCCCTGCTTCATCAGCAGGTGGAGCAGCTTCATGTTGACGCCGCCGAAGAAGCGGTCGATCTGCCGGTGCGTGGCCTCGTTCAGGTTGCTGTGGTTCCAGCACCGGCCGAACACCAGGCTGGTGCGATGACAGGCCGCGTTATTACAAATTTCCTTGCGCGGTTGAGGGTAGAGACGCAGCAGCTGGTTGAGAGCTTGCTGGACGTAACTGTCGTTGCGACTGGTGCTACAGCTGAACCAGTTACCGGCGAGGGCCTTATAGATCTTGTCATAGGGGCCGGTGGTGGCCTTGATCAGGTTCATGGTTTGCCAGATGGGGTTCATGAAGACTTGGGAGCAGGAGACACCCAGGAACCAGTCGGTTGGGATCGTGCCGTCGAGCATACCGGTGGAGAGGGCGACGCTGCCCATGCAGTGGGCGATGGTGTAGATCTTTTCCTTCCCGTAGTGCTCTCGGATATACTGCATGCATGCCTTGATGTCAAGACGGGCATCATAGGTCGTCCAGTTGTGCTCTGCAACCATGAGCTGTCCGATACGGTGAACTGTGATGAACACGCGATAACCGGCACGTCTGAAGTAGTTGACGGCGTTATACCGGATGGTAGGAAGGGCAAAAATATGGTGGTCAACTGCCGCGCCCGGAACCATGAAGAGGTTTTTGATGTTCTTTTTGTCGTTATCAGGATAATGAGTTGGCTCCCACATATGCAAACGAGTGCAGACTCCATCGTCGGCATAGATGGCAAAGGATTTTGTTGGTGCTGTGTTGTTGACGTAGCCTGTGGGCATCATGCTTGGGTACTCGAGCGGAGTCAACGGCGCCATGAAGAGGGAGAGAGACTTGCGGGTGAAGAAAGTGAGGAAACTGGCCGCACTGGCTACCTTCTTCAAGAGGTTGCTGCCTGTTGGAGTCATAGTCATGATCTCGGAGAGAAAGTGCTTTGGCTGGATGTTCATGATGCCCTTGGCGAGCACCTTGCCCCTCCTCCAAGCATTTTCATCGTCAAGATTGCTGCACATTCCATCCACATGCTCGCTGACGGTCACATAGAGTGTGCTAGTCGAGCGCCAAAACTGCAGAGGGTCTAGCGCAACAGACGAATCGACAACCTTGTAACCATGGAAATGCAGCCTCCTGCCATCGACGCCGGTCATATCAAAATCATACGTCAAGTTCCGGGTACCAGGCGCCTTGTCATCAATGATGAACAAATTGAATTCGCCTCTCCGAACCATGAACGGTGAGCCGGGAATTGCGGGGCACACAAAGGTTCCCGTAAGCATGGCACGATGCTGAGCATGCGAAAGGGTCCTAAAGGTGTCGAAAGCCTGCACACTGAGGAAGAAGCGAGCGCTTTCGCAGCGCGATTTGGCGGTCCGGTAGGCAAGCTCGTATGTAGACCGTTCATCCGTTTTCATGGTGGGGTCATGGTGGATGAAGCCAGACATGACCTCAGTGAAACCCATGCCGCTCGAGCAAAGTTCCTTGGCCATTTGAATAGCTCGGGTTGCGTAGCCGAGACTGTGCCCTTCTTCCATGGCTTCAATCTTTGAGACAGTCCTCACTGGCAAATGCTGCTTGGGCTTATGTTGTGGCTCACCAAACAGATCAAGGATGCCGTTCTCCTCCTCGCTGATGTGCAAACCCTGGCGTTGACAGTAGGCTTCAACAGACCGCTCCGCTAGGGCAGCAATGGTGGCAAAAGGATTGGTACCCAGAGCGGTGGGAATCACCGCGGCATCTGTGACGATGAGGCCATCGTGGGTCTCACTTCCGAGTCCCGTGAACACCTCACCCACATGATTGGTGACACCGGTCCGACCCGTATTGTCTCGGGCCATACAAGCTCCGCTACAAGTTTCGAAACTGTGTTAGTCTAACCATACGTGCCACAGTATACTACTTATACAAAAGTTGGGTGGTAAGGAAGGAGTAACATACCCGATCGGATGGACTGTTATTTGCTGGTTACCCATCATAGCGTCGAAGGGGCTCTTGACATAGGTACCGCCAACAGCCTGCGTCGCTTGGGCCAAAAGGTTATTGAGCTTCTTGACGTGATCACTTCGACCAACGCCAAGGAACTCGAGAACTGGCTTATCATCCTGCAAAGTCAACATGGCCTGGTTACCTGTGAGGGTGTTAGTTTTGCGATAATTGGGCTTTGCTCGTGCTTTATTTGGCCTGCTTACTGTCATGAGACATGATGAGATAAACCTGTGTCCTCTCAATGGCACCCTTTTTGAAGTAAGGGCCTAAGAACCGGCTACCGTAACGAGCCAGAGCAGAGTGTGCTTTGTCAAGGACAGTCAGGTTCTTGGGCTCTTCACTTCCCGGCATCAAGTCTAGCATTGCTTGCAGGAAATGGGCGAGGGCGTGAGGAACCGAGCCCTCTTCAATGACGAATCCGTCCAGAGGGTTCTCTAGGTTATGCCTGCAGTCAATGACACTGGTAATGCAAGGCCCAATGGGGTTATATGGCGAAGGGTATGCCCGACCGATGCCGTTCACCGTTTCGTCGGTGTTGTAGCTTGTAGTAGAAGGTCAGCTTAAACCCGCTTCAAACAAATTTCCAGACAATTTTAAAAAAGATAAAAACTCACCCAAACGCCAGTATGTCTCCATTACCGCTCATGTTCTGGCCGACCAAGTTGCTCATCTCAAGTCCCATCGCTTTGCTTCTGAGCAGAATCTCAGGGGTTGCAAGGGCGCCAGCGCCCAGGAAGACTGCTTTTCGCGCCCGAACCCACATCAAATCGCCGTGAAGGTTGGCCTTGAAGTGGCCACGGTTGCGGCCATGCCAGGCAAAGTAGACAAGGTAGCCGTCATCGTTACCATTTTCGTCCTTGGCCTTTTCGACGTATCGCACCTCGCACTCGCAGAACAGTTCAGCACCCCAGTTCCAGGCATCAGCCAGATATGTAACCAGCGTGGTCGTTTTTGAGCCATCGTTGACGCCAGTAGCATCCTGGCCGGTCAAAGCTGATGCTGACATCTCAACACCACAGCTATTTGGGCCGTTTTGGAAGCGTGTGGTCTGCTTGACCTTCCTCCACTTGTCACCATAGCCCATATACTGGGCTTGCTTCTTGAGGAGTTTGGCCTTGGGAAGCTCAGGCCAGTCATCGGGGTACTCTGCCGGTTCGAGCACTTTCTCTACCTTCTCATAGTCTATGGTGAAGATTAGTATCCATCTTGTAAACCACCTGTGCTCCGCAGGGCAGGTGAGAAGGCCTTTCAACTTACACTTGTCCAAAGAGTCTACTTTGTTTCGGATCTCGGGAGGCCAGGCCTTCATGGCCAAGGTACCTTTATCGGCCTCCATGAAGACATTAGCGTTCATAAGACTTGTTCCACCGAGGCCTAGAATTACATGTTAGCTGACTCTACATCAAGTTTCTGCACAGGTATACTTACCATTAGCCACAACGGCATTTTGTCCCTTTCCGAAGATCAAGTGATACATGCCGGTGGGATCACCTGTCTCAACGGGTATGCCATCCAAAGATCCCGGTGCGAAAGTACCGGAGGTATGGAGTTCCTTGAAGGCATCCGCGGCACCAGTAGGGTACTCGCCAGGCCACTTCTCACGGCCACGCTCAAGAACACACACTGATGAGCCTGTGCGAGCCATGCGTGACGCCGCAACGCCACCACCATAGCCGGATCCGATAACCACGACATCGTAGGCAACCTGTATAAGTTCGACAGGCTTCGAGATTCTTGGAAACGCTTGACGGTCTTGGTCGGCCACATAGCTGCGCACTTTGGTGTTGGCTCGAGCGCGAGGACCCCCAGGTTGGTGGTCATGGATTCCCTCCGTTGGAATCTGGTGAGACTCTTGTTTGGACCGAGAGTAATCTTGAGGTTGTTGCTTAGGGCTCCTACGGGGAGTGGGGGGAAAGTCGGACGCGGGTGACTCGGTAAAGGAGGCGTCTGAGTCGCCGTTCGTATGTGTAGAGCCGAGGAAGAGGCCAGCGGTGTCGGTTTTCACTCCAAGTTGGTGGCCACTACAAGCCGGGGTCGGCGGAGGTGACGGAGCCCCGTTTGACTGGTGAGCTGATAGCATATCCATCTTTTCAGCCCGGAGGATATCAATATGTTCACACCAAGTCTCCTGATAAAAGGGCTTGAGCTGAGGACGTCAATGAAGAGGCCGTTATTGCCAACACAATGGGTATAATGTGGTATATATCTTGTGGACCACAAATGGTAAAGAGAAAAAGTATGAAATAACTCCAACTAAAATCAACGCAACACTGCTAATGAAATTTGAGAGCGAATGGGGAGCTGAGGAGAGATTTCGACGCTGTTGACAGAGCGGATGGGAGGCGTCAGGTTGATATATCTGGTGGGCAGAACGACCTTATGTTCTGCCCTAGTCCTTGGTATCCTAACTTTCTGATGGAGACGCCATAACGTGGCACTGGTCTAGCCCGACAGGGCAAAGGAGCAATAAGAGTTACTCGAGAAGCTCCATGGAAGTGTAGGTGGAAAATGTATAGACTTGTACATCGGTAGTGTATTACCTTACCTTACCTACTCCGTGAGGTATAGGCTAAGGAGGATGAGGGCTGTGCACTGCGTCGGTCTGTATCCGTTCCGGGAGAAGATCTGTTACTTTCGTGTGGAGAAAGACAAAAACGGTTACCTGGCTCTGCGCTCATGGCTCAGTATCGGTATCGTGAAGGCGCAGTGTCAGCTCCGTCTTAATTTGAACCTTGCTCCCTGGTTCCCCGAGGCTGCGCGGAACAAAAATACATTATAGCGGAAAATACAAATCACCATTGGCCGAGGTCCGTACTCCGTACCCAGGGACGACAATGGAGGGTTGCAAGGGGTATGTACGCCGAGTGCATTGCTAGCGTCTGGATATCCACCGAATTGTGCAATGGGGACGGCATGGCACCACCATATGAGAAAGCTCGAGTCAAAGATGCTGATTGTTGTCGACCATCAAGACGGTGTGGGTACACGAACTGCAAGCCTCATGTTTCCCGAAGGATGGGGAGGGGGCAGTTCGTGGGGAGTTGCAAGCCACGGTGATTCCTACAACGAGACAGGAAGCCTTGCCTCTTCTATGATTTTGACAGCCCAAAAAAAAAGTATTTTTTTTTAATAAAAAAATACCGATAAAGGGGGGATTTCTTCCGTCATGTTCAACGATGAGTTCTCTTGACTATGCGTATCAAGTGGTGTCGTGGTTCGGAATAGATGAGCCGGCTACTCCCGTCATCTATCCCAACGATACAACTGACATGGCAGATTCACAGCCAAGCGAAGACTGAGCTGAATTCTTCAGGACCCATTGCGACTTATCCTTGCTGCTGTCCACGTCGATCAGCACCAGATCTTGCCTTTGCTTGGGAAACATATCTGAAGCTCTTTTCAGCCTGGAAATAATTGAGCTTTGCATGTGACTCTGAAGCCCCTGTCTTCCTGGGATTTTTGACGGCGTTGGCTGCCATTCAGGGTCGACCTTTCGATACGAGGATAGCGCCCCGAGGCTTTGTTGTGAGTTTATTGTCGCAAAGGCAATTTGTGACGGTGGATTGCAGCTCTGGTCATGGATGCAGTTCGTGTTGTCCGGAGAAGGGTCTCGAGCCCTGCACACAGCGATGAAGTTGCCATTGGACGTGTTTGGATCATCGAGTGGTTGATAGCCCCTCTCGCCCCTGCACTTCTTGGCTTAGAGATGCTATTGCCGATCTTATTGGCCTGGAAACGAAGCTAGCACCCCCGGTGGTGATAGGACGAGCCCAAAGCTACTGGACGAGAGCTACGCACGAGTCTGACCTGCGAGAACTCTTCTCAGTTCCATTTCCGTCTTTTCTCCTTCCTCAACTTGTTGTCTTGTGCTGAACGTTGTTAGCAATGCATGAGTACTCAGATGTAAGGTCGGTTTTTTCCTACTGTACCAGATACTGGGTATCACGAACGGCCCCCATGTGGCCATTGCCATTGTCGTCATCTTTCATTCCGGCTCATTACGGTTCATGTCCGGGCAGAACGCCAGAACGCCAGAACGGGGACGTTGACTGGATGCTCTCCACGATCCGATCACAATGTGGCTCAGCTTTCAGAGATAACGCGCGATATTCCGAGAAAGGGGGACGTCAGAGAAAGAGGCACGGAAGGCAGTCATCGTCATGGAGAAACGAATGGGGATCGGTTCCCGGCGTAATCTTCAACCGGCCTGTTGCTCCTGCCGCTCTCCCGCATTTCGAGGTTGCATTCAGCCCTGAAGCAGGTGGGTGAGATGATGTTGGTGCAGAGAAGGCCCTCACTCCGTTCTCGTGGCGGCCAGTCCGTGTGGTCGAAGAACTGGAAAGAACATCTGCCCGGTCACGAGTACGCTGTGCATAGGTATACTGCACCCAGGACAGTCGACAATGCGACAGCGGGTGGTGAAATGGCTCGACTCAGCGCTGTATCATGTACGGTATCATGCCAGTTGGATGACACTTATCCGTCTGTGTCTCGGGAGGGGAGTCGTTCATGATGACTGATACAATCTGGGCGGACTGCCCAACATGCTTGAAGGTATAAGCACCCATGGCAGTGCACTCGTGGCAGTAGTGACGTTGATTCTTGTCGTTCCTTTCCCTCTTTTCTTCGCTTCCGGCAGCGCGAGGCTTTCCGAATCACCGTGGGCTCTGTTAGTCAGCATCCACATGGCAAAGCTCGTTGGTGGTGAAACGATCCGTTGTCTCTCTCTACCATGCTTACTCGGTAGGGCTGAGGCTGTGCTAGACGAGCTACGGACAACAAGTTCCTTTTGATGTTTAGCCGAACGAAAAGGAAACAAAAGTTGACAAGGGAACGCAAGGGTGGTACACTACAAATCTCAGCCGCCGAGTGCGAAGAATGTTCGTTCAAGACAGTCCAGTGCAACGTAGATGCCTGTACTCGCATTGGGTCTGAAGGACATTTCTAGCCCAGACGACCTAAGAATGTGATCAACAACCGACCTCAGCCGCGCCATGAATTGCTCTCTATGAGGGTAATATCTTGAGGAAAGAGAGGTTCTGTCCAATCGCACAACTGAATGGAACAGGAGGCAACGAAAGGGAACGAGAACCGGCCACTGCAGTTTTCACTCCTCGCCATCACGACGGTCTGGAAGCCAGTTTCTAGTCGCAGCCCCAAGAGGGAAGGTGCGACTCGACAGCCTTGCGATAGTTACCAGCTGGACATCGTCGCTTCCATGCGATGGGACGGATCTGAGGAAGGGACAGCGTACCAACCGATTGGCATCTGCCGTGGTACTTACGCACGTATTGGTAGGTACCTACACAGTACTACACGCAGCCGTAAGGCTCCGTCCAATGCTTGATGTCCATCGAGCGATATCGATCTGACCCTATAGTAGTTCTTTTATTAAAGGAATCGAATAATTGATGACTGCCTGGAGCGCCAGTCTAGCCGTTCCGTCTTCCCTATAAGGCATCAGCCATTCAATTGGAATTATCCATTGGATCTCAACTTCCAGTGACACCAACATTGCATTACACCGTACCTTGCTCTGTGAAATGTTAGTTTCAAAAGTGCTGACATCCAAGAATATCGCTTTCGTGTTCCCCAGCAAGCAGGCTCCCTCGTGTTGCCTGTATTCTCATTCAAGTCCCAACTGCATGATTGCTTGTATCATCCCGAGCCAGCTTGTCCCTCTCTACTTAATTTATTATTTGTTTTCTTTTTTTCTTTTTCTTTCCCCTATCTGGTCCCGATTCGGACAAAGCAAGTCATGGCAAGGTTGACTTCTGGTTACACCCGTTCTCGTTTCGTTTCGTATTTCCCGGTTTGCTGGGTTCAAAGTGAATGAAGCCTCAAAGTTTTTGGTTCTCGGGTCATCAGAGACTTAATAAGACAGGAATGGAAAGAGTAGCACCAATGCAAGGTGACACCAAGCTGTTCCCCGTGGGGAGGTGTGGTTGTGCCGTCCGAGGATTGGCGAAATTGGATATGCGTGGCGAGATCATTTGTGCCAAGAGATGGTGCTAGGATGAAGAGTATGTTGAAGGAGGAAGGCATCGCCACCACAACATTGTTTCAACCCCCTGGGCTTTTGAGTTCGGTGCTTCCCCAACTCCTTCATAGTGTTATTTGAATCATGATTGCCCCTTTCGGCTGCTAAAGTTGTACAGAGGAAGCTGAACGAGGGCACGGGAATTAGGCAACCTGCTTATTTGTCGCTAGTGGTTTACTCTTGCACTAACTTTTGGAGCCGCGGTAAGTACAGGAAACTGTTAGTGTCCAACTAAGACCCTAACTCTCTCACCATCAACAGTCCAATGGGATCAGACACTCCAATACTCCAGCTCACCAGCTACGATACGGTGACGGAATGCGAGCCTCTCGTACACCCATACGCTGGAATTAAAAGCTGTGATGAGTCGGCCCCCATTTCTCAAAGTCGCCGTATCAAATCGGAATCGTTGATAACTCGAATCAGAGAGAAACAGGAGAACAGAAATGCTCGAAAAAAAAACAGCGAAGAGAGGTTGTCAGTAATTACAAAAACGGGCAACATCGGAATCTTTGAAACTCCAAATATGGTTCCAGTCTCTAACAAGAATGACGCGATCCGGCGTTGTCTGCGGCGCAAGAGGTTATCGATGACTTGAACGCAGTATTACCCTGATTTCTGCCAAAGCTGCGGGTACCAACATTTGACATGGCCTGGAAGAGGTTCGGGATTTTGAAACAGCCAAAGTTAATTCTAAGTACGACAAACCCTATGGGGCGCAATGCAAGGAATTGGCAAGGCAGACACACTTACAGTTATTGAGGACGTACAATTTACACGCAACAGGGAATTGGAAGCACGCAGTCAAGATTATCACGGTCACTAGGAACGCGTTGCAAGAAAGTCAAGCTTTGTGTGAATCGACAGGTAGGATATGAATTCACCAATGGTATATGTACATGGAAAGTCATCAAACCCGCCTCCATCTAAAATAAACTCAAACGCCAAAAAAAACCCAAGCCTGCTCGGTAAGATAGCATGGCAAACCCCAACTCCGGCCCGTGATTTTCATTGCTCAGTTCCCATCATAAAGACTTCCTTTTTTTTCCCCCTTCCATTCTCATTAAACGGTCAAAAGAGACCGTTTAGTTCTTGGACCACCAGTCACCCTGGTCGTGCATGGCCTGGGCAACCTTGACGAAACCAGCAATGTTGGAGCCGGCAACGAGGGAAGGAAGCTCGCCCTCAGCAGCCTCGACGTAGGTCTTGGCAGTGTTGAGACCGTTGAAGAAGGCGTTCTTCATGATGTCCTTGAGCTTCTCGTCAACCTCAGCCTGAGTCCAGTTGAGGCGCTGGCTGTTCTGAGCCATCTCGAGACCGGAAACGGCAACACCACCACAGTTGGCGGCCTTGCCGGGGGCGTACCAGACGGCCTCGCCCTTCTTCTCCTTGCGGTTGTTCTCAAAGACCTCGATGGCCTCGAGAGTGCAGCCCATGTTGGAACCCTCGGCGACGAACTTGCAGCCGGCGGCAAGGAGACCCTCAGCCTCCTCCTTGGAGACCTCGTTCTGGGTAGCGCAAGGAAAAGCGATGTCAACCTTGCCAACGTGAAGCCAGGGGCGGGCGCCCTCGATCCACTTGACGTGGCCAGCGTGCTGGAAGGTGGTAAGAGACTGACGGGCCTCCTTGATGGCCATGATGGCGTTGATGTCCTCAACAGTGATGCCGGACTCGCCAGTGGCGACAAGGGCACCCTTGGAGTCGGAGAGGGAGACAACGGTGGCGCCTAGCTCAATGAGCTTGAGGGCGGCGTACTGGGCGACGTTGCCAGAACCGGAGAGGGCAACGCGCTTGCCAGCGTAGGAGCCAGCGCCAGAGTACTCGAGCATGTGGCCGACGTAGTAGACGAGACCGTAACCAGTGGCCTCAGGGCGAATGAGCGAACCACCCCAGGAGAGGCCCTTGCCAGTAAGGACACCCTCGAAACGGTTCGCGGCCTTGCGGTAGGCACCGAACATGTAGCCGATCTCGCGGCCACCAACACCGATATCACCAGCGGGGACATCGGTATCGGCACCAATGTGCTTGTGAAGCTCGGCCATGAAAGCGCAGCAGAAGCGACGGATCTCAGCGTCGCTCTTGCCCTTGGGGTCGAAGTCGGCACCACCCTTGCCACCACCCATGCTCACTAGAGACGCCGAGTCAGCAAATCTGGTATTCTGGTTTTGTATATCCGTTCGGTCACTTACGGCCAGTAAGGGCATTCTTGAAGATCTGCTCGAAACCGAGGAACTTGAGAATGGAAAGGTTGACGGAGGGATGGAGACGGAGACCACCCTTGTAGGGACCGAGGGCGGAGTTGAACTGGACACGGTAACCGCGGTTGACCTGGACGTTGCCGTTGTCGTCCTCCCAGACAACACGGAACTGAATGACACGCTCGGGGATGGAGGCAACGGTGAGGGCGGTGCGGTACTCGGGGTGCTTCTGGAAAAGGGAGGAGTTCTCGAGAGTGTAGGCCAACTCTGTGGCGAAAATCAAGTCAGCTCTGTGTCCGCGGCTATACGATCGGTTTTTCTCTCAGACATACCCTTGTAGGCCTGCTCGAACTCGGGCTCAGAGGGAAGGTTAGACATTTTGAATGTGGTGAAAGGGATAAAAATAAATTAGCGGGTTGGCCACCGGGTATCGATAAAGTTATGCTTGGTGGGAGGGCAAGATGGATGAGCAAGAGAACAAAGATGAGAGGGGGCACAGCTTTCTGGAGGAGGGGAGGAAAAGACTTTATACAAAACAGAGCTGGGGCGACTGGGGGAAGGAAGCAGAGGTAACCTTGAAGGTTTGGGGAGGAGCCAGCGTGAAGGAGGAGACCTCGACTGGGCGAGACAAGACAGACGGGATGGAAGGGCCCACGGTCGGAGGTTCGTTGCGAGGATGGGACGAAGCTACTACGCTTGTCCGTGACATCGGATCCTTGTTCCTGTCTCGATCCCCCCTCGATCCCCTCGTCCCTAGTGCTTTCCCCGTCCTCCGAACATGGAGACACCTGGAGGCGAGCATGAAACCACCATCACCTCGCCTGTACACTTATTTTTTTTCCAGGCGGCATTCAAATCCCGCGTTGCAGCCCGCGAATAATCCCAGCCGCAGAATGCCATTGAGGAATGGGAGCGTGGGGCCCATGGGGGCACTCGGGGTGGTGGGGTTGAACTAGTAGTCCCTGTCAGTCTGTCACTGTGTACTTGGCCACCAATGGTGCTGTCCCTATCTACTTACTTGTATGTAGACGGGATGTGGTCCCGCCTGGTTCTGCAATATGTATCAGATGCATCCAAATGTCGCTCTTCAGATTGGCAGATGTGGCCTGAACCGGCAGTGCGGATTGCATAGCGATAAACGCGATACAATTCGTCGAGGAACTTTGTTCACCAACGTTATTCTCGAGACAATATGCGTCATGTCTCGCGAGCGACGGAGACGCGCCTTTCTCCTGTGAAAATCTTTCCATCCTCCTTCTTTCCACATCCATCTGCACATGTACACTACTGCGTACATAAGGCGTGGGATATCACAGCACAATGGAACAATTATTGACCAAGCACTTGGGTGGGAGGGTCGCGTAGAATTGCCCGCTCTTCTAGACTTGAAGGTGTGACGGGCTGTGTCAACGTCATTTCTCTTATCAAAGCTCCGAGGTCGGCTCTCTTTTCTGAGCTATCGATAGTAGAAATATCCTTTTATCAACACTAATTACTACCTACTTAGCGTATAAGGTCGGCGACAGTGAGAACATGCCCGACGCTATTTCCAACTTGGAATGTAATTTGAACGTGCAATAGAGTCGTCACTGATCAATTCATCGTCAGCACTAGCCACTCCTGCCATGGCACAGGCTGTCCTGCCCGTGCGCAGAATTTTGCCAGTTGGGGCGAGAACTGAGAAGTGAGACCCGTCCGTCCTGAATCAAGACATGGCAGGCCAAGACATGGCAGGCCGGGACTGCGCTTGCTGCGCAACCTCGGCGAGCTCCACGCAGGGCGCCACAGCCGCATACATGATGGATCGGCTGCTGTCTTATCGGCGCATGTTTATTGGTCGCCTCGACGGTTTGGTAAAAAGCTTATGTGAACAAGTCGTGAGTGGTTTCGTTCTTCTGCTCCATTTGGTTTCGCATGGGTTTGCACGCTGGACCAGCCCATCCTTTCTGAGGCAAAGATTGGACCACGGACCAATGCCAAGTTGCGCCAAACCCCAACTTCGCCCACTCATTGCCAACGCCGCTTCAGAGTCGCTACCGCCGTCGAGCACTCCGACCTCGCAGGTCGCGTGTCGTAGCAGGCTGTCAGGTCAGTCATGCAACGCTGCGGCAGCATCAGGGTTTCATTGGAGGATATGGGGTGAATGAGATACGATTTGTCCTTTTGCTAACGAATTGATACTTGTCATTGGACTGTTTGATCAGCTACCTGGGGAGGCCAGAACAGGTTGCAGTCCGAAACCGCCCTTGGAAGCAAGGCCCCTGCTTGCCATGCACTCGTCGCCGTTGTTGACTTGGTGTGAATGCATTCCCAAGTATACATCCTTGTCGCCAACCCCCACCTTCCTTCCTGGGATACACGATAACGATTCAGGCACGTGTCAGCGTCCCTGCAAACTGCAGCAATTGTTCAGCCTTGCAGGAGCTTATCAGTGGACGGAGAGGCAGTGAAAAAACAAAGTCAAAAGAAAAAAAGAAAAAAAAGAGAGAGAGAGAAGATAGAGAGATTGTGGTGTATCTCCGCCACTACCACGGGTCGCGGTCCGCTTCGGCGAGAACTAGATAAATACTCCTCGCCATCGACAACGAGCGTGGAAAAGTCTGGGCAGACAACCACACCACAGTTCAACGGGAAGCTACGCCGAGTTAGTCCGCCAGCGACTATCCAAAGCGACAACGTCAAAAACTCGACATGCCGAAACTTCGACGATTGATGGAGCGTTGCCAGCCTCGTCGAGTACACTTTTCTGACCAGCTTCGGGAGTAGGTCTGCTCTCCGGTGGCAGTTTCGCAGCTCAACTCTTTTCTCCCAAGTAGTTTTCCGCCGGCTGGCTTGTTTCGGCGAGTACACTACACGTCCAACAGGTCCATCTCTAGCCCGGCACAATCTTCCTATTTGCGTGGCGCCGAAATGAAAATGAATCCGACTCGCGAAGAGAGGCCACCCGTGAAGTGGAAACAAGCTTCTTCACATCCTATTCTTCCCGATGGTCAGCGCCAACACCAGGGGCAATCCCGGCCGCTAGACGCCGCCGACTTCGGGTTGCCAGTCATGTCAATCGGCGGGAACCCCCGACATCGTGCTCATGCCCGAGTCCACATCACGGAACCACCGCCCGACCAGTAAAGGTATCAAGAGATCGACCAGTATCTCGACCGTACCCACACATCCGCCTCTCCCATGGGCAACCCCGCCAAGCGACGATTCGGGGCTAAGCGGCACCAAAACCCCCATCTCCGAGCGGCCAACGCGGGTTTCCGGTGCTGCTGCGAGCACTTGCAGCCTGTCTGCATTGCAAGTGAAGCTCCCGCGTTCAACATACGGTGCGACCTTATCTCGCATGTGGGCGCTATATACGGGCCGACATACCCTTGGCGCTGGACTTTACTGGTACTGTAGCTGCCAGCTTGTCGCAACCAAGACGGACACCCATCTCCGCTCCCAGTTCGTACTTACCCACCATTCGTCCATCTTTTGCGTGGTTTATGTTTGAGGCCAGCGTTCGGTGACTGAGTGACTGGCCTCCACACGAATGTGGGTGTCGGCGATCTCGAAAACCACCGAGGTGCACAGTTGCCGGTCAGTTGCCGGTGTATGGTTTGTACGAGACTTTGTGAATCACTTCACAGCAGCTTGCCAACTGCCTTTGAGCCTGATGATGCGGCCAAGCTAACTTGAAAGCTGTCCGCCTCATTTTCCGATCTGTCTGTCACTTGCACTGATTGATCATCATCAATGGCCAGAGCAGCACAACGATTGCCTTGCAGCGCACTTTCCCATCTCATCCCTGATCACGCTTTCCGTTGAGTCCAGTGGCCAGGGGCAGCTCTCTGTCGAAATACTGGAGATGTCCCTTCCCTTGAAAACGGAATGGCAAGCTGGACTTTTCGGGAGAGCAGGGTTGCGGACGGAGGCATATATCACTGGCCATATCCCGATTGTTGACGCGCGGAACAGGAGTCACTTTCCAGTTTTACCGGACGACGAAGAAGACGTGTCACGTACGAATTATGTACTATTGAAGATTTGCCAAGAATCGAATACAGAATCATTACTTTCCATCGTGTCTCTACTGCTCGTTCCTTCTGCTTCCCCACCCACTAACGCCAAGACATCTTGCTGACAATGGCGATACAAACAGAACAACCGACGCTCCCCATCAACCGTTTCACGACACCTGCATTACGATCGGACCAGCCACGATGATATCATCCGTCAGCTTGCCTGTCAACGGGCCCGCGCTCGCCAAGTTCACATAAACAACGCCCTTCAAGCCCTGCGGCACCACGCACGCGCCCGTAGCAGCATCGAATGCCGTGAATGCCGTACCGCCGGGGATGCCACCCGTGGTGAAAGCGCAGAACTTCGCGCTACCCGTCGCCGACGCATCGCTGCTCTGCAGCTTCACTTGCGACCCGGCAGCCGCCACCGTCTTCCCGTCCCCGCCCATCGTCAGCGTCGGAAACGCCTTCAAGATCAGATTGCTTCCATCGGGACAGCTTGTGATGAAGGGCGCCGCAAGGCTGAAGACCTGTTTAGGAGACAAGGGCGTGTCGAAGGCCTGCGGCACCGCCACCACGCCGCTCGCCGCTCTGATGAACGTCTGGTGGCGTGCCTCGACCGTTAGGATCGAGGCCGCGGTGGTCAGGATGCCCGGGTCGGTCACGAGCTGCGCCGCGCCCAGGTATGCCGACACGCCAACGTTCTCGAGCACGGCGGCTGTGGCGACCATGGCGGCGGCAGAGGTGACGGCCTGGAAGTTATAGGTACATTCCTGTACGGGCTTGGCGCCGGCAGCGGCAATGGCGCCCTGGAGCAGGATTACGTGCTCCTCTTCGATGCTACCGATGCCCTGTAGGTCCTTGATCTGAGACTCGGAGAGCCCGAGGGCGGTGAAGTCGGCGGCAGGGAATTTGGCGAAGCCTTCGCGGTAGAAGGTATTTTCGAGGTGCTCAAGCGTAAGAGCGCTGGAAGACAGGTTCGTTAGCTGATGTGAGGCTTGTGCAAGGAGAGAAGAGGAGAGCCTACAATTGCAGGATATCTACATCCGTTAGACCGGCGGCGGCAGCAAGGGCATTTTGACGCCTGATGAAGCTGTGGATCTTGAGTTGGTTGTCTGTCAACTTGGGGATGGCAGGCAAGGCCGAGGTCAAGGCCGCTAGGCATGCCGTGATCAGGCCGAGGGTCTTTGTGATCGAAGGCATGTTGTCTTGTATATCGACTTGCTTCGTGGCAATTTGGCGTCGATGGTATAAAGGTAGGTTGTCTTTATTCTGCGTTGTGTCACCTTAAAATGGTCTCTTTTTCGTCGAAGGAATGCGAGCCTGGTGCTGTATATGCTTGTGTGCGTGTGTGGACTATGTTTGTCCCAGTATTACAATATGAGTAGGGAACCCCACAAGGCCGGGCTGTAGGTTGCTGGACTTTGTTGACCGTCGTTTAGACAATTGTCGTTCAGTGTGATGAAGTGATGAGCACAGCTCGAAGAGACAAGTAGAAAACTCGAAAGGAGAATGAATGGAAGCAGCAAGAAAGCAGACCCGTGCTTGGTATAAAGAATGAATGAAACAGAAGAGCAAATGCAACACAAACACAACACCAGGTTGACAATCGATCGTGAAGGTGAAAAGGAAGATGGTGAGAAACGAACAAGAAGTATAAGGGAAACGACCGTCTGAAGATATATCCAAAAGGAGACAACGTCACAACTAACAAGAGTCGTGATGTTACGGTGATGGCGAGCGCCAAGGGGCCGGATCACGGAATATGTAGTGTACGGGGTCATGGACCCTACCTACATTTCACTATGTAAGGGCAAGGAGATAGCTTCACTCAGCGGCAAACGGCTCTTGAGTGTTCCGGGGATCTGGGGTAATAGCATTGCGGAGATAGTGGTCGTTCCCAAACCACCAGGGACTGACATGGGCAGGGGTTCCTCGAGTTGCATGAGTGGTGAAGGAAGCTCGGAAGCAAATGGTACTGTACTACCTACCTATCATATACAGGTATTGCTTAACATAACTCGAAACAAAGTTGAAATTTCCCAATTGAGGGGCGCATGCGGATCTGACTTGCTGAAATGTCAATAGCATGTGAGATACGAACAAGCCGCTGTCTAGATATATGTTATGTAATGACATAGAGGAAATGGAAACTTCCGAATACACTCATCCGATCCCATCCTTTATCACAGGTAGCCTAGGTTGGCGAGGTAGAATAGAATATCTATCTGGTGACAAGGCAGGAGAGTAAATAACCAAAAGAACTAAATCTTTTCCAACTCTTTTCTCCGAGGGTTGACTGAATCAATCAAAGGTGATGAAAGCGTCAAGTAACTAACTAAGTAGCCAAGTCATTCTTGACGTTTCGTTTCTTCGTTCTGGACTTCTCAGCGGCCTCTCTTGGCTCAATCCTAGCTCTACTCTGAACCACAACAATAGAGCCAGAAACGTGTGGAGGCATGTAGAGAGAGGGGTATGTAGTTAGAAACAAGCCATTTTCATATCAATGCAACATGATCAAAATCATGAACCTGGAAGCTCAACTATCCCAAACGGTCAACCGAGACTCCGAACCAATAACAACAAGCTCATAAGAGAATTAAGGTTGAGGGTTGGAGGTGCATCCAATCTTGCATGCGCTCGGATATCTCCATTTCCATAAGAAAATGAGAGTCGTCGAGATATAGACAGGGGACGGGGTTACACCACGGAGAACATCTGTAACATTAGGGTTGTTGGGGTTGTTGAAGGGGTCATCGCTTCCATGTCTCAAACACGTTTTAAAGGTCTCACGGGTACACGGATTTGTTCTAACCCGGTACCCTTACCAAGCCTTTTTCAAGCTTGATTTGACGTTGACTGTCTCCTACCTACCTCTCATCACACTACTTGATGACGGATTTCGATTCGTGAACACGTTCTATGGAAATGGAAGACATGGATGCCGAGCTGGAAAAAGATGTTCCACAATGTATATACACCCCTTTTTGCCCACACTCGGCATGGGTAAAGCTTCCTTAACAGCACATTTGCACTTGCGATAAGCTTGATTCTGCCGAATAGCCACACCACCTTGTTGATTATAATCCGCCTTCTTTTCACTACGTCAAATAATTATAATTTATGTCTGTGCTCGGCTTTTGCTGTCTTACTGATCCTCATCATAACGTATTCATCCCCCCGTCACCAAAGCTATCTTAGGTAACCAAATTATGATTGATACTCCCATAAGGGCCCCTTTCTGTCACATAGCTGCCACCCGCCAAGTTATCCATGTTGAGTGTGATAACACCTTCGCGAATAAGCCAACAGACTATAAGAGATGCACACCATATCGTCAATAAAGGAATACACCCACATAACAATCTTGAAGACGTTGCTTTCTAACACATCATACATCATCCGTTCCTCCTACTTGTTTGACAAAATCTCCACATGACGACGGACATTAAGGTGAGTCATCTTAACCGTTCCTGCACTGCTGCGCATCTTCTTTCCAAAGCATCAAATCATTTAGAGGGCATAGGGATTGAGCGAGCGGATGGTCAGGCACCTGTGTGTTTGGTCAGTTGTGCATGTTGTAAAGAGAGAAGGGATGTAGAACTTACGGTGGGCTCTTGGAAAGGTCGGTCTTGAGGATGACAGGCACACGGGTCATCTCCGTCACATCCTGGATGTACTCGCCACCCTCCTCGCGGAGCTTGAAGAGCTTCAAGTACTTCTCCTTGTTGGTCAAGCGAGCCTCCGGCGCCTCACCGACGGGCACCTTCGAATCAGACCGAGTACGGTGGAGGGTACCGACGGCCTCAGCCGCAGACTGAGTAGGTGAGCCAGGCACGCTCTGAGTCGGGCGCTCCGCAAGAGATGCGCCGGCCATGGCCTCGGTGATATCAGAGGCATTGTCCTCGATGTCGTCCTCGTCCTCGTCCTGAAACAGGGCGTCAACATCATCGTGCGAGACGGTACCAGTCTCGATCTGCTTGCGGGCAGCCTCCTCGCGATCCTTCTTAGCGCGTTCGGCCTCCTCAGCCTGGCGAGCAGCAGCGAGAGCATTCGAGATGCGCTGAGAAGCGGCTGCCTTGGGACGCTCATCTTCAGGGACGTAGGCGGAGCTGGGAACACCCTTCTCCCAGTAGAGTTCAAGAACTCTCTTCTCCTTTCTGAACTCAGCCTTCTTCAGAGGAAGCTGGTCGCAGTGGACGCGCTTCTCGAAGCCCCACTCCGGAATGAGAACGTCGAAGGCAGATTCGTACACACAAATGACGATACCCTCGCTAATCAGGTCGCCATTAACCTCCTGCCGCTTCTTATCCATGGTGCGGCAAGATTCGATGTGAACACTCTGTTCCTGAGCATTTTGAGCCGAATCCTTCTTGGTGTTGCAAGACTCTACGGTCTTGACAAGGTTCTCCAAATCCTCAGTATATTCAATCTTTCCATCAGAAAGAACAGCCTCAAGCTGACGATGAACAATGATGTCGGCGTAGCGCCTAGTGGGGTACGTGAAATGAGTGTAGAGGGGTAAGTTCAAGGCATAGTGAGGCCAAAGCAGACTGGCAGTCTTGCCCGCAATGAAGTACTTGGCGCGCTGCATAGATTTGACGAGGAGGGTCTCCATACCCTTTCTGATGTCAGAGTCGTCAATCTTGAACAAGCTATTCTGTAGGGTACCACTGCTAGTAGCGTCAATGTCGTAGCCCAAAGCAGTCATACGGTCAATGATAGTTTGTAGGCGGCGGGAGTTAGGAGCAGACTGCCTGCGCAGAAGGGCTTTCTCCGGGAGTCCCTGCGCCAGACGTTGGGCAACATGGGTGTTGGCCTTGTGCATAAGCTCTTCGACAAGTTCAGTGGCCTGGCTAGACTCGAAAATGTTGTGCTTAGGCGGGATGTTCTCATCATCAAGTTGCTGGAGGAGACGGAGAGGCGCAATGGGTTCGCCACCGGCGCCCAAGCGAGCTTCACGGAACTTCTGGGCGACAGCGTTGAGAATCTGGATGTCCAGAGCCTTCACAGACGGATGGGAGAATCCGCTGCTACCGGAAATGGCTTCATCGATCTGGCTAAGCGATACCTTTCCGCCGCTCTTGACGATGCCCTTTCCAATCCAGGTGTCGCCTTCAGCCACCGCGCCAGTCTGGGGGTTGACGTGGAACACAACGCTAAAAGTCAAGCGATCCTGTTCAGGAGTGAGGGTGCAAAGCTCGCTCGACAGCTTGGGGGGGAGAAGGGCACAGAAGCGGTTGACAAGATGGACCGCAGTACCGCGCTTCTTAGCTTCACGGTCAACGAGTGAGCCGGGCTTGACGAAGTGGGCGACATCGGGAACGTGAATACCAATTTCAATCTTGCCGTCAGGCAACTGCTTGAAATGAACACCGTTGCCAAGCTCGACAGAGCTATCTAATTCAACAGTGAACACATTCTCGCCACGGAAGTCACGGCGAGCGGCAAGAGCAGCTTGATCCTCACTTTCAAGCGACCAGTCTTGCTGGCTGACGTTGCGCAAAACAGCCTCAGCAAACTCGTCGGACGCGAAGTTGTTGTCACGAAGGAGGGCATCGGTCTCAACCTTAAGATCACCCATTTTGCCCAGCTTCTCAACGAGGGTACCAAACGGATGCAGAGAAGTGATGGGCCAGCGCTTGATGCAAGCCACGAAAATCTGGTCCGCATAGTCCTGGTGCTTCTCCACGAAGTCCTTGGGGGCTTGCTCGGTAGGAATGGCAATCAGAGGGACACGCTTGTCCGTGGGCTTGAACCAAACGATCTTGGGCTTCTCGTGGGAGCGCGAGTCTTGCTGGCGGCCATTGCCACCGTCTCTCGCGGCGCGTTCAGCTTCCTGCTTCTCCTTCGTAGCCTGGCTGCTCGGGCGGAGCAAACCAAGGGTACCAGAAAACATTTGGCCGGGAACACGCTCAATAACAGCAACAATGTGACCAGCAAAGAGAGGCTGCTGCTCATCATTGATCTCCTCTTCCTCGACCAAAAGAAGACTTTGACCTTCAACCTCCACGTCGTCGTTCTTCTTTTGGGTAGGACGCTGTCTGAGGCTGCCACGGCGGCGGAGTCCCCCCTCAGCGTTGCCATTGTCGTCACCAGTATTTTGGCCTCCACTAATGGAGCCAGAACGAGTGTCGGTAATATCCTTGCGCTTCTTCTTTTCTTCCTTCTCGCGCTTCTGCGCCCACACTTCACCAACATCCAACAGCTCAACCGCAACGAGATCACCTTCGAGAGCACGGTTGCGATCCTTGCTGCCGCAGATGAAAATATCGGCGGGAAGCAGGCCATCCTGCGTCGAGACGTACGCATCGCTTCTGTTCTTCTTGTTCACGCGGAGAATACCAGAAACAAGCTGGCCGTTACCCAAGAGGGCAGGAAGAGTAGCTTGGGGAAGGTAAGGAGTGAAAAGCGTCTTCCGCTGCTGTTGCTGGCTTTGCTGACCAGGAGCAGCCATTTGAGGAGCGTGCTGGCTGGCGGCAAGACCAGTAAGTGGCTGACCATTCATCTGAGCAAGCTGAAGAGCCTGAAGCTGGTTGAGCTGCATCGGATTAAGTTGTTGGCCAGGGAAAACCTGGGGCATCATCATCTGACCGGGGAACTGGACCAGCTGAGGCTGTCCGGGATACTGGAAGGATCCAATCGAAGAGATGGACTGGCTCACCGAGCCGCGGCTGCGGTGACCGGGCTGGAAGCCCTGGCTCTGAGGAAGGGCAGCGGTCTGGTCCTGAGCCTGGTTCTGGTTCTGGTTCCTCCAGTTGCCGTCGAAGTTGCGGGAACCAGTGCGGGCATGGCCGCCACCAGGAGCGCGGCGAGAGAAGTCGCTGCCTTGGCCCATTGAGTCGGTAGAGAAATGGCCTCCGCGGCCACCACGGCCATTGGCACCAACAGCCATGCTCTGGCTCCTGCCATGGCCGCCACGGCCGCCACGGAACGACGATCCCTGAGCTATCTGGCCCTCCGCCGGAGCAGGAGTGGTGCTCGGGGTGGTCTTGGCATCATCCTCAGACTTCTCGGAGGAGCCAGGGGCAGGAGCAGCAGGGAACTGGAAGGTAGACGTCGTGCGCTTCTGTTGGGCGATCTCGGCGGCCTTCTTGGCATCGGCCAAGGCCAAGGAATGTCTTCTCTGATGACCGCCGCCGGATCCACCACGACCACCACGACCGCCGGTGCTGTTCTCTCGGGCGTGACCCTGGGTGGGATCTTGGAAATTGCCGAACGTCGAACCAGAGGCGCCGGCAGAGGGAGCAGGCGGCGGGCCCCCCATGCCCATGTTTGGAATGGCCGACTGATTACGGCGATGTGAAAGCGGTTGTGTAGGAGGAGCTAGGGGCGGCTGCTGCTGCAGCTGGACCGGGAACTGGAAGCCCGCCTGAGGCGCCAAACCGGCAATGGGCTGGAAGTTGGTGAATCCGCCAGGGCCCAGGGGTTGCGTGGCCGGAAGCATGCCGAGGTTGGCATATTGAGCTGTAATTTGCTGTTGCTGCTGCTGAAGGAGTTCGATCTGCTGCTGGATGGCAAGCTGTTCCACTGCACGGAGAAAAAAATCCAGTCAGTACGCCAGCGCATTGAAGGGGGGGGATGAGGGGTTACAGTCAGGACACAAGACGGGAACGCGAAGGGGTCAGGGGTACAATCATTGGCTTTTGAAGCTTTTCGCCACGAGCAAGAACGGACCAGTGCAAGAGCGGTAGAGGGGCGCCGCGATAGTACACGATGGCAAAGGCGATGACAATAGCAAAACTCAAAACATACTGTTCGTGTTTGAAAACATACTCATCAACGGGGTCAGCTCCGACGGGCTTCTTCGATGGGCGATATGGAGCCGTCGGCCGGCGGGGCCAGAGACGCCTCCTTGAGGCTGCTGTTGCTGATCCATGATGCAGGTTGTTGGGACGGACAGGTGCAGATGACTCGGGTGATCCAGGCAGAAAAAGGTGCACGTCGAGTGCGAATGCAAGGCGAAGTCGGCGTTGGAACTAAAGCGTGTGAAGAAGTAAAGCAGAGCACGAGACGAGTCGAGTCGAGTCGAGTCGAGTCGAATCGAGGCGTGGTCGACCGAACAGAGACGAGGGGGAGGTTATTGAGCTGGGTTTATCTTTTTTGTGTGGCCGGATTGCCGTTGCGATGCATCAGATGCGATGGGAGTTGCGGTATGTTTGGTTGCGGTGCGGAGACGTCGCCCCAAAGGACAGTTTTGTTTCGCAGTTAAAGCGGATTGGATGAAAGAAATCAAGTCCAAAGAGGTTATAATGAGAGATTGAAAAGTTGCTACGAGGGAGTGTAGAGAGAAGGGAGGGAGGTGTCCGGCTTTGCTAGTTGACGTTGAAGCTAGAGAGGAGCCTGAAGCCGATGCGGATTGAGGTTCGTGAGGAGGGAAAGGGAAAGGGAGAGTGCAGGAGGAGGAGGAGTCGGAGGACGGGAGAAAGAGGTTCGGTGCTATAGGAAGTCAGGAGGACTGGGCCTTGGACCTGGGAGGAGGAGGAGGAGGAGGAGGAGGAGGAGCAGAGCACTTTCAGCGCCGCAGCGGGCAGTCAGCGAGAGGAACCCGAAAGGTCCCATCCTTCGGCGGGCATCCTGGGCTGGCTTGTACCTAGGGTATCTACCTACCTAGAGGTACCTACCTAGACTACATGCTAGTGACGAACTGATGCGTGAGAGGGAAACGGCCCGGGGACAGGATGGTGCCCGCCCGCCTGGCAGTCCGTCCTGCTGAGGTGAGTGAGGTCCGTCCCTCCTTGGAGGCGCATGCTGCAGGTGTACACGGTGCGGCGGCGGAGCATGGAAGGTCCGGGTTCACGGCAGGCATCTCCCACGGTTTCAGTTGCACCTATCAGCGCCGGTGCTGGGCAGTTGGCTGAAGTGGTGGGCTACCAAATACAAGTAGCGGGCACGGGCAGTCGAGAACCACCACGGGTACCTGGAGGTAGGTAGTAATAGAGGTAGCAGCAGCTATCTGTACCTTACCTGCCTGGCTACCTAGGTAGGTACTCACTCCAGCCCCAGACACCTAGCCGAAAGGCCGCCCCCCCAGCGTTAGTAGCGCCAGGGTAGGTGCAAGCACGCAGGGTGTGAGGGTGCACCGGATACCCCATGTGCGCGACACACCGTGCTCCTCTTACAACGCAACTACTACTGAATGAAGTAACCTTTGAGCCCCTTTTATAAAACCGTCTTTTTTTCCTGGCCATTGTTCAAAAGTAAATCTACACTCATGACATCCATTGCATACCTACCTACTTCTGGAGTTTTTGTTCAACAGCCAAGAGCTTCGAAGAGTCGAGGACCGCGACAGGAGCATCCGGGGGAAGCTACACTACACCAATCAACGACGCCAGTGGGGAAACGGTTCTTCAGCAGACTCGGGAAAATCACAAATGGCAGAAGTGGACACTCCCGCCAATCGTCTTTACCCCATACCTCATTTAGTTTAGATTCAGGATATCTCAAACATGGCGTATGCTGGGCGATGCTTCCCTGTCACGAATGTGTCTGCACAGGGACAGGGACGACAAACTCGAGATGTAATCGAGAAAACGTGCTCAGACATTTCTCTCGGGGAAACTCAACGGTGGTCGGAAAGGGGATCGCCAACCTATATCATGATGTGCCGGGCATCACCTGGGGCCCATGGACTGGCCTTGCCGGCGTAACAGGGAAGACATCAATGATGATGGTGATACCCTAAACCCTGGATCGACGCGAGTACACCGCATACTGTAAGACGACAGCCGTGTCTCCCGTGTCAGAAGCTCCGGCAGGCTTTGGGGGTCTGTGTCTTTGATGACGGTACGATTCGCAAAAGCGGTTGAAGAGAAGAGAGACACAGATACCTGCGGGAACTAGGTAATGGAGTTGCTATCTGCCACATACAAAGACCACAAGCTGACCTTCTCGTCGATGTTTGCTGCCCGCAGCACCAATGGATGAGGATGATATGCAGCAACTTGCGATGAAAATATGTTTCCTTGATTCATCACACATCCTGCATCAAAGTTCGTTTGAGATGTCACTAGCACGTTGCCTTAGTTTAGCTTCGTATGTACATACAATGGCGACTCCAAGGGTAGTCACTCCGAAGCCCTTTCTCTTGATTGTAATTCAAATGGAAGCCCGAGGACCTGGTGATATTTCAGCGTAACACAACATAAGCAGACATCTAAATTTGAGTTATAGATACCAAAGACGCTTTGTAATGTCTACACAGGTAGGTTCTTGTTGCCAACCATATATCAAGGCTGGAGTTCAGGTTGGTTTATAGAAAGGTGCCACTTCCATCCGTTCTCCCCCACCAAAAGCGGCTGCAAGGACCACTGCACTGCGCCTAACCACACACAGTGTGTAAAGATACTAAGACAGACGAATTGGATGTCAAACTAAAGCCGCACCCATGGAGTGGACTTAGTGCTATTAGACTCGCGACGCGCGCAAAGTACAACTCCATTTGATAGTATCCATACAGTACTTACCCTTCCGCAACTGTCAAGCCGAAGACAAAACCGGACAATCACCTTAACACCACCCTTTTTTTCCTTTTTTTAACCCAAGCAGCGATATCGATATCTGCCTGAAAAAATATCTCAGTGCACCACCTGTTCGGCAATCGTGACGGGTGACTGGGATTGTCAAGCAGCAGCGCATCCAACCACCGACAGGATGGCTGGTTCGTCCCCCGCTCGCCCAAACGGCAACCAGTGGGCAAGCTCTTCCTCGCGATCAGTCATATCCGACATTCTTGCTGGCGACCGCAATTCCGAGGCCCGGCATAGACTTCTGATTGAGGCCGCTAGGAGGGAACATGAACGTGTACGCGAGGAGGCCGAAAGGGTGTACCAAGAACACCTCTTGAGACAAGAGCAGGAACGTCTGGTTGAGGAGCGCAAGAAAGAGGAGGAAAGGATACGAGCAGAAGAACAACTTGCTGCTGAGCGAAGGAAGCTTAACGCTCTCAAGGCGAAGAAAATCGAGATCCCGCCCGTCCTGCCCGATTTCGAGCCAGCAAAGGCACCATCTCCAGCCCCGAAACCTGCCTCAACGGCATCCCCATCACAACCACCCGCGACCCAAGTCAATGGCAAAACACTTTTCGAAAAGCAACCCGAGTTGCAGCCAGCGTCTGCACCGGCTGCATCGAAGCCTTTTGGAGGATTTGGACAGACACTAACAAGTGCGCAACCTGCCACTGCTGCCCTGAAGCAATCAACGCCTGCATCTGCAGCCTCTTCTCAGCTTGCGACCAGTAACTTGCTAGGGAACAATATCCAGGTCAATGGAACCGCCACGGCCACGACCATTGCCAAATCACCGACACCAGCACCCGTGCAACAAGGAGCGGACCGATTGGCAGTGATACACAAAAACCTGAAAGAGCTGCGGAAGTCTATGTTGGATCAAGCAAAAGCAAATCAGGCGCTCAAAGCCCGTATGGGAGATATGCGTCGAGAGATCAGGAAGTGTGTTGGACAACTCACGGGAGGCGGCGCAGGAGTCAACCGTCAACAGGTAATTTATCACCAAATCAGCCTTATTCTTGGCTTTTGGGGGACTGTGCTAACCGGACACAATGACAGAACAATACCATTGCTGCTCTACTACGCGAGGCGCTCGAAAACCGCGTACAATCTCAGCTCGTTGACCCGAACACCTTCCTCGTCGAATCACGAGCCCCAGTCCAAGGGCCTACCAACAACGATCCGCAGGTCCCGTCGCTATTTATCTATCTACTGAACGTCTTCGCCAAGGCCACCATTTCCCAGTTCATCAACGAAGGCGGTCCACGACCAGAGACAGCCGATCCCGTGGGTGTCTGTATTGCCGCCGTGTTTTCCGACCCGGCATTCGCGTGGCGTGGGGCTTCCATGATCGACATCCTTCTCGCCAAGTTCCGCATCGTCTGTCCCGTCCTGTGGGGTTATAGGGGCAGCGAGAAGACGGAGCAAGGACGCGCCAGGATAGGGTGGTGGAAGGACAATGGAAGATGGGTTACGGAGCAGGTGCATTTCGACCGAATGACGGGTCTCGGTGCCGGCTTCGCCGCGATATCGTTGCGAAACTTCGCCTCGTCCAAGAAGCAAAACCCATACCCACCACGACATTACTGGGCGGCCATGGCGAAGATTGTCAACACCCCTTCGGGCGAAATCTCAAATACCCAGTGTGTGGTTCTGAAAGCTATGATCCAGAACTACGAGGAGAAGTTTATCCATGCATATGGAACTGCTGCCCTTGCGGCGTTGAGGACCGCGCTCGTAGAGTTCCCTGCTCGGGCACCGGTCAAGTCGAGTGCCGTGAATTCGTTGCAGGTTGTCCATGATCTGCTCAGGAAGAGTACTGGAGCTGCACTTGGATAAATAAAGTGGTCGTGTCAGAGAACGGGGTTGGTGTGTTGTGTGTCAGAAAGAAAAGTCATATCAACGGCGTCCAGGAGTTGGTCATTTGAGGTTTCCAGCATCTTGGAAGGATAACGTCTGCCATGTGCCGGTTACAAAAAGTTAGTGTTCTATCAGAAGAAGCTGAAAGGCCGGGCTTCCCAGCGTATTTGGCGCTTTCTGTTTTATACCCAGCGTATCTACAATCAAGGCGGCGGAGCTCGTAGTTGGCATACAGAAACAAAAACCTAGCACATCAGCACTCAGAGAAAGAAAGCCTTGTATCGGGTGCAGAATTGAGCCTTTGTATGGCTCCAAACTCAATGTTGCTGACCGATGCCCGTTTCCAACCGGATCATAGCGGCAACAACTCGTCGTTACAGTGATCTAGTAGGTCATTATTATATTACCGTATGACCGTCCATCATGATGCTGTAGGCGGTAAAGCAAAGCAAGTAACAGGAGAGCCCAACATCATAGACACCCCTCCAGAACTCCTCTTAACCGGCAGGACCCAAAAAGAAAACAGCCCGCCTAGTCTAGTGATGTCAACCAAGACACAACCCCAATCCTCCCGCCCAGCTCCCAGCTCACAGAATGAGCAATAAAACCAACAACAAAATCAATACAAAGATCAAGACCGCAATGCAACAACTGCTCAGCGTGTCCTCGTTGTGCCTCATCACATATGTCAACTTCTGCATCCCCGTCTGCAACCTCCCTCCCACGCGGTCCGCCAAATCGTCCGCCACCTCCAGCATCTCCCTCTGCTCCTCCAGCTCACGGCCCATGTCATCCGCCTGCCGCCTCAGCACTCCGACCGTCTGGAATACCCCATCCAAATGCTGATCCTGCTCGCGCATCATCTGTATCTGCTGCTGGTGCTCGAATTCGGCTGCGTAATCGTCGTCTTCGCCGGTGGCGCCAGCGGCACTGTTTTCACCGTCCGGGATGGCGAAAGATGATGGGTCTGGTAATTGGTCCTTTTGTTGGGTACCCTTTCCAGAGACGGCGGATTTAGATGCGAGCTCCTGCCGCATGTTCTCTACCTCGGACCCGACATCTTGCACAAGGCGCTTGCGCCGCGTGACTTCGTGCGCCGACAGACCATATTGCGTGGGGTCGCGCTCGACGGCCTTGACGGACTCGACGAGGTCGGCGAGGTCTTCGGCGAGGGAGGAGAGGGCGGATTCGAGGTCGGAGCGGGCCGCGATCAGCTCAGGGGAGTCGGTGGAAGAGGAGGAGGAAGAGGTGAAGAGGGAGCGGATGCGTAGGTAGGAGGTGAAGAGGGAGCGGGTGGATTGGAGTTGGGTTAGGACGTCCCTGTGTTTGGAGTTTGGTTAGCTGTCAATGTTTTGGGTTGACTGTGGTTTGTGAGTTGGGAAAAAGGGGGGAGATGGTCAGAGCATACTGTTGGACCTCAAGGAAGGGGTCCTCCTCGTTCGTGGAGGACATCATCGCGCTACTGCGAAGACGAGGAGGAGTAAAGTTGCGGCATCAGTTGTCGGTCGCATCAATCGACATGCGCCGGCCTTATTAGTCCCAAGTCGAAGGAAGTGGAGATTCACTGCATAAAGAGATTGGGAAAGTGGTGGTATATGCAGTGATCTATTGTGTTTGATTAGAATAAAGACCAAGGTATAATGACGTTGCGGCCGGCAGGGTTCACGATCTCGACAACTGCCTCGAGGTACTGTAGCGGCGCTGTGCACACAAGCGCGGCGCCCCAGATTGACACCCCCCTTTGTGGCTAAGGGTGAGTCTAAAAAGTACATGTGGTTCTGGATCCGCCGTCGGCTTGGCGTGAGACATCCATCCCATGGACCTCTTCGGCTGCCCCGCTTCTGCAGCGGTGCAGCTCCCGCTCCCTCGTCTCAGGGCAATCGCGCAGTCGCTGTGAACGAACCCCAACGATTCCATCAATCCCCGTCTTGTCTGAACACCGTGACTGCTGCCCCTGTTGTTTTGAGGGGAAAATGCGAGGCCCTTGATGCAAAGGAACTGGTTGGACGACGCGCGCTGTCGGTCCGGTCGTCAGTGCACTGGTTCCAGGTTCCCCGGTCGTGGGGACGGGCAGTGGAGGGCAACTCGCCCGATTTGGTAGGTGAAACGTAGCTTCAACGGAGCCGGGGACCACTGCAACCGAAGAGAATCATAGGTAGTGTCTCATCAATTGTCCTTTTCCTTCTCTTTTTCCTCCTCCTCCTCTTCTTCTTTTCCACCAATTCTTTGACTTGGGTCACGTCATTGTCTTTTCCCATCTCAACCCAAAAACTATCGTGAACCGTCAAGATGTTCAGCTTGCGGCGACTCCTCCTCGCCGCCGCGCTGTTCCTCGGCGCGATGCTGCTCTTTGCGCAGTCCGCCGAGGCAGCCAAGGGCCCTAAGATCACCCACAAGGTCTATTTCGACATTGAGCAGGGCGACAAGCCCCTCGGCCGCATTGTTATGGGTCTCTATGGCAAGACCGTCCCCAAGACCGCCGAAAACTTCCGCGCTCTTGCCACTGGCGAGAAGGGCTTCGGTTATGAGGGCTCTACCTTCCACCGTGTCATCAAGCAGTTCATGATCCAGGGTGGTGACTTCACCAAGGGCGATGGCACCGGTGGCAAGTCCAGTATGTTACTTCCAAGTTCTATTAGGCACTTTGGTCCATATTATTAACCGCTTGCGTACAGTCTATGGTGACAAGTTCGCCGATGAGAACTTCAAGCTCAAGCACTCCAAGAAGGGTCTCCTCTCAATGGCCAACGCTGGCAAGGACACCAACGGCTCCCAGTTCTTCATTACCACTGTCATCACCTCGTAAGTCGAATACACTCGAGCCGCACGGTCTAGGAAGTGCCCCGTTGGCTAATACGCATTCTGTTGCAGTTGGCTCGATGGCAAGCACGTCGTCTTCGGCGAGGTCCTCGAGGGCTACGATGTCGTCGAGAAGATCGAGAACACCAAGACCGGCCCTCGCGATGCTCCTGCTGAGCCCATCAAGATCGCCAAGAGTGGCGAGCTTGAGGTTCCCCCTGAAGGTACCCATGTGGAGCTTTAAAAAGCGTCTTCTATCCATCCTTGCGAATCCCCATTTCCCCACCATTAACTGTTCACAAACCTGCTATGTGGGAAAGGTCATATAAAAGAGGAAAGGATATAGAAGCAAAACTTTTTGGATCCTCATACCTACAATGGTGTCCAATTGTGGATCGTTTTGTTTCTATGACCGTTTACCCGTGTATATGAGTCCATGTGCTGATGAGTCGGTGTTTTTTCTCATCAGGCCTGGAAGGCCAATCGGAATGGGCATCTCCCGCGTACGCAAACGAAGACGAGAAGCCTGCTGCTCCTGTTCCTGTTACCGATGCCAAGCCTCCTGCGCACGACAGCATCCCCGCCGCCACCGCCGACGACGATGACACTGGTGCCCCCTTGTTCGCCAAGGTCCTTTTCTTTGGCGTATTAGTTCTAGGTCTCGTTTTGTATATTCGCCTTCGTCGCGCCCCTAAGGGTACGTACGGAAAGGGCATGGAGTAGGCAATACCTCGAATATTTGAAATCTGACAAGGCTGCATAACAGGTAGCTATGGGGGTCTGGGCGGGCGTGAGTAGCCCAGACGAGTAGTGTTAAAAGGGAAAAAACAATCAGAATCAAATCATGGGCGTATTTGGATCATCGCATAGTTTGCTTTTATTCCTATGTATATCAGTCGCAGTAATGGTTGTGATGGTTGCTCTGGCGATGTAGTGGCGTGTTTGTAAGTCGGAAGCATAAAAGTAGCATCACGTGGATCCATTTTTATCCGTTCGAGTCGCTGGGATATCGAACTTTTTTTTTTAATACATTTTTGGTAAGACAGTACCGACTTGTAAACCACGACCAGGAAAACCTTGAACATCTTTTCACTATCTTCCCCGAAACTCTACGTCTCGCTGCCCGAATCCAAAACTAGTTGAGAAACATAATATTCAATCAACCAAAACCCGCCAAGATGAAGGTCATGACACTCAACTTTCTGACCTGCGCGGTCAAGAACTGCAAGTCATCCAACGACTCATTCCCGCTGCACCCCAAGGAGGCCGAGCTGGCCAAAGATGATATCGAAATCAACCCTCAACTTCTGATCAATGTCTTGCCTCGCATCGACTGGGCTGCTCTGCGGACTACTTCTACTGAGGTACGTGGAACTCGTTTTGCATTTCAATCCGACTCACCATTCCGATATGGATTTACAACATATCTTCATCCACAATTTTCAGAGAATTTCCACATGTCCATCTCACAACTCCCTCCTCACGTCTCACTCACACCTCCCTCACCCTCCCACACTTTCACTTCACCTCAAACAACATCATTTCGACGACGCACTCAACTAACACACGCCAGCTCGGCTTCCCCACCCTCCCCGAGCAGCCTCCCTCGCCAGAGGACCTTCAGTCCGACGAGGCTCTCCTCAAGGAGCTGCACGAGCTGCTCATGGAGACCCAAATGATGGAGGGCAAGCTCGTGTGCGGCCACTGCGGGCACGAGTACGCCGTCAAGAACGGCGTGGCCAACTTCCTCTTGCCCAGCCACTTGGTATGAGTGGAGCGCGAGGCAGCAAGGCGAGGCGTTTTCAGGGATGGTCGTGTCGACTGGACTACCTGGACTGGTTGCCAGAGACCTGTTGGAGAATCGGGGAATCTTCATCGGATAGTAAGCACCAAGGAGTGGTAGAGATGGAGAAGTGGCTCCTACCACACGGACTCGGGGAATGCATGCGATGCCAGAAGGCTGGCCACCTGCGGGGAGCAATGAATGAATGGATGGTTTGGGTGACTGCCCAGGGTTGGTTAAGGGCTACCGCAGGAGTCGTCCTGTCCTGGAAGAGACCAGAGTATGGCGAGAATGATTTCTTGAGGGGCGGTTATTTCAGCATTTTACTTGTTCACTTTCAAGGCGTTCTGTAAGGGAAAACATCAATAGAGGATTATCTGGCAAATATCAGCGGCGTAAAAGAAAATTCATTTCACCAAGGTGACAAGCTAAAGTTTACAAAGTTGGACATGTTTCGTGCATATCATAGCTAGCTCATACGTGCATTCTTGTTTTCATTCCCATCTTGTGTTGTTCTAGTGTACGAATGCGCAATGCTTTAATGATACCCAACCAAGAACAGTAACCCTCGAACTCCGGCCTGTCCCCCAAACCCATATACATAGCATGATTCCATAGCAAAGCAAAACCTTTGTTCTGCCGCATGCATATCTGTTGTTCGTTGCATCCCAAACCCTACAAATACTAAGCACAGGGCCTCCAAGTGCTTTACTGCTGCTTCTTCTGTGCAGTCGGTCCCATCTCCTTGTCGAAAGCGCCATATGAGACTTCGAGACTACCGAGAGCCTTCAGTCCGACGCCAAGGATGGAGAGCATGACAATGAGAGCGAGCAGGGCGACGAAAATGCCTGGTTCAGTGTCAGTCTACTGCCTTGGAAGAAAGCGCTGACTTGAGATGATGATTACATACCAGGAGTGAAGAACTGATACTTCACAAACAGCGGGCGGTTATCATAAGTGGTGTTGCCGTTGTCACTGCCCTCCTGAGAGCTAAACTGTCCGCGCTTGAGATCCATATGGACTGGCTCGATAAAGTCAGGCTGGTAAGCCTTGAACTCGTTAGGGTCTGATACCATGACAAGGGTATAGTCGCCCTCAAGCGTATCGAGCATCAGGCCCAGCTGATCGTCTATGGTTGCTCAGGTTAGTATGGGGCAATTCAATAGCCGACCCGTGATCCGAACTAAACATACCATTAGAAGCCAGGATTTGCGCCCTCTCATCCTTGTGCTCCAATGAAGGTAGATGCGTGAGGTCAACCTTGACGATACCGGCAACCTTCCCCTTGGCAGCGCAGGCTTCCTTCACATAATCCTCCAACGAATGGGTTGAGAGGTCGCCGACTACCTCCGCAACGCTGAACCGGCCCTTGATTTCCTTGCTTGCGATTGTGTCGCATAGACTGCGCATTTTACAGTGCGAGCCATCGCGGATGTCGGCGGCGTGCACGTTCGGCTGGGAGACGATAACGTAGTCCTTCGTAGGACAAGAGGAAAGGATTTCCTTGGCGGAAGCAATTACTTGATTGCTGGTTTGGAGCTGATCGTATCTTTCGGGTGTATTGAGCCTGGAAATCACGGTTTCAAAAGGGTCAGCATCTTCAATCGAAGTCACATGCATGAAAGCGCAACTGAGTGGGATGTGGTGCACAAGATCGTGATGGCGCGAGGGCAACTTGAAGGGACACCACCCACGGCGACAATTGGGACATGACGTACTTGGAGGTGGAAAAGAGGACAAATGGTGAAGAGTCCGAGAAGGCATGCACTGCCGTAGAGGCGAGCAGGGTTGTTACTATCGAGAGTTGCATGATTTACAGATTATGCCAAACTGTCTGCGATGTTGTCGTCGTCGGTTGTTGTGTTGGATATGCGAATATGGTGTAGTGTACAAACTGGCAGCGTGGTGTAGCTCCAGGATCCAGAGCCCGGGAGCGTGGATGTCACTGCACTGAGAGAGCGCCAGACGTCTGATGCATGGGATTGGATGCTGGGTGTGACCGGCAGGCTATGGACATCAGAGATAGGCGGTAGAATAGGGCAGAATACGATAAGGCCGCTTCCTGCATGGTGCCCCGTTCGAGTGAACATTTGAACAGGGGGGTGGCTATCAGTAAATTTACAGTTGAACCCAGAGCATCCAGATCGCTGCATCCAAACATCCTTCCCGCCCTTACCTCTACCTCGATTTCTTGTTTTCTCCACAAAACCACCAAACGAACTTTCCACTCAAAGTCAACCCTCAAAGCCATTATGGAGAGGGATCCAGCGTTCTTTGTTGCCCCAAGGCCCAAAAAGAGTGGGCTCGCGCCGCCACCCAAGAAACGCAAGATAGTGCACAAGGTCGAGGAAATCACATTCGACAAGGACGCCCGCACCGAATATCTTACCGGTTTCCACAAGCGTAAACAGGCCCGCATCAAGGCTGCGAAGGCGCAAGCAGAGGAAGAGGCACGGCTGGAACGAATTAGGTTGAGAAAGCAGGTACGTACCGCATGACCGCTGTCTTTCTTGGTTGGTTCCATGGCACTAAGTCTAATCCACGTCGGGTACAGATCAGAGAGGAGCGGCAGAAGAACCTCGAGGAACATATCCAAACAGTGCACAAGCTTCTCCACGAGGCAGAGCGTGCCGGTACCGACGACAAACCCACCGAGAACAAGTCAGACGACGAATGGGATGGGCTATCCGAGGACGACGTGGCGGAAGAGCCTGCGCTTGATGTTGAGGAGGAGTATATCGATGAAGACCGCTATACGACCGTGACAGTAGAAGCTGTCAGCGTAGATAGGGACGGCATCCACAAACCACGGACCTTGAAGGACGAAGAAGATTCCGAGACGGAGACGAACAACAAGAAGAAGAAGGCGGCTGAAGAGGCGGCGCAGCAAGAGGCCGACAAGAAATCAAAACGAAACTTCCCAGAGAAAAAGAAGAAGAGAAAATTCACATACGAAAGCCGACATGACCGAAACGTCACAGAGAGGAAACAGAGGGCAAAGAAAGCGAAGCGGTCGTGATAGGTTACATGGCGAAGGAAATAATCTCCCGCTATTTCTGACAGCGGTATCCCTTACGATATCTAGATCTTGTTCAAGTACTGTATGTGCAATGCTGGGATGATGGATTATGCTTTGAACTAGTAGGCAATATGAGTTGTACGAGGGAGTTAGATGACGGCTTGGTTTGTCCGTCTTATCTCCCTACTCGACAACCCGAGGACAAACGGCATAAAGGGTCAGGCTGATATTATCGATGCGGTGACGCTGTGAACAAACGTAAAGAAAGGAATTTCCACCATGTTCCGACTGCATCTGTTGCCCAACTTAGATGTTGGCAATATCGGCCTGGAACTCTTCCAAGCTCTTCTGTACCTCGGCGTACTTCTTGGCCATCTCCTCGTACTTGGACTCCCACTGGTCGCGCTCGTTCTCGAGGGCCTGAACCTTGCGCTCGAAGTGGCCGGCCTTGACGTCGGTCTGGCGAAGCCTGTTAAAGGAGGAAAACATCATGTTAGTCTAAGGTGTCGCAAAGAAAAGGGGTTCAAGGGCACAGGGGTTAGGACCCTCCCCCATCTCATCGTCCAGGGGTGTGTGTATTTCGATGCGAACGTACTTCTCGTTGGTCTCGCGGAGAGTCTTGTCAGCCTCCTCGGCCTCCTCTTCAAGAAGTTGAAGTCTCCGTGTCAGCGTCTCGTTCTGAGTGCCTTGTTGCGCGCCATCCTCGGCGGCGCTCTTGAATTCCTTAACCTGGGTCTCGAGCTTTTCCACCTCACTTTCTAGCACGCTGTTCTTGTGGGAGAGGGAGGTGATCTCCTGCTCCTTCTGAAGGTTCTCCTGCTCGAGGACCTTGATCTTGGACTGGAGCTCCTCGACCTTGGCCGAAGCCTCGTCAGCCTCGAGGCGGAGCTGGTTCATTTTCTGTAAGCGTAATCGCGCTGGTCAGCATTCCGTCGTCAAAGAGCATCGCGATAGTGGTGTCAAGCAGTCGCGGGCATGTTTAGGCCTTGACGGGCAGACCTGGGGATACACGGATGTGGCGGTGGCCGTAGCTGGCTGTTGCTCCCATTAAGGGGTTACGCATCGCTGGGCAGTTGGTGGGGGTCCACAACAGGGATCAAGCTCTCGAAAGCGATGATGTTTCTTACCTCCTTGATGCGGTCCATTGTGTCGGTATTATGTGTTTGTGTGGTGGAAAGGTGAGATTAGAAGAGCGCGATGTTGCGAGTTGAAGGGTATCTCGAGTGCGAAAAGGGCAGTTTGTGAGGATGGTGTGGATGTGTTGGTTGGGTTGATGGAAGGGAAGAGGAGAAGGAGAGGAAGGTAGCGGACAGATGATAGTGGGTTTGCAATATGAAGAGTGCCCCTCCCCTCCATAACGGCCGCCTGCGTGTCTCCCTCGCCTGCCGTGACTTGGGAGATACGGGAGCCATACATCGTGCCCAGATCGGGGGTCCAGCTGCCCCTGGTCCAGTTGACCCAGTGCGTTCAGTGCGCCAGCGGGCGGTCTGGCAAGTCTGACCATCTGAATGGGCTGCTCACAGCTTCCCGCTAGGTGTCTTTCAATTTCCATCCTCATCCACTGAAACTTGTCGGTCTGGATCCCCTGGATAGGATTCCACAGGCGGGCAGCAAGGGGCTGGCTCAAATGTGGGGCCAGTTAAGTTGAGCAGCTCACTCCGTTGCTCGGCCAACGCCTCGCCTCGTTCACCCACAAACAGACCGAAGGCTCCAAGCACTTGAACTGAAGAGCATCCGATTACTGGACCTTTTCCCCGCACCACCTACATACGACTACAAAAACTCTTCTGGGCAGTTGGGAGCGATCCCATAGCAACACAGCAAGATGTTGAGAGCACATCAAGATCAAGAAAATCGCATTGCGCATCAAGCTGGGAATGCTAAACAACTCCCAGTGAAGACACCTGGCGCTTTGTACCCGAAAACGCCGTTGAAGGTCCCTCTCAACGATGAGAACACCACTCGAGTGTTTGCCGGAAAGGGCACGATTGCAAAAGGCGATAATGTCTTCACTAAGGGCACTGGGGCAGCCATGATGACGCCCGGTGAGTGCTCTTTATGATCTCTTTCCACAATCGAAAGAGGTTGGTTGCGCAAAGGATATCGGTTGACCATTCAAAACAGCCCCTCGAACTGTCAGAGCACCGCTCGGGAACAAGACCACCAACGCAAAGGCAAGAGCGGCACAGCAAACCGGCGGAGGCAAGGAACTAGGCGGCGATCTCAAGTCAACCGTCAAGCCAACGACGACCCTTCGTCAAAAGCAAGCCGCGCCGCAGACCCAAGACTCCAAGCTGGACGTGCATGCTGATATCAAGCCCAAAAACGACGACGAGGAGGAGATCGAGTACTGTCCTCCCCCGGCACAGGACCTTCCGTACGAGTCCGACGTCCTCCCTGCGCACGCCTTGACCTTCGAGTCGCTGAAGCCCGAGAACATGTTCAAGGGATACTACGAGTATTACTACAAGAAATTGGACAACAATGGCATGACTGCCAAGGAGAGGGAAATGGCAGAGCGGCAACAGCGTGACTTTGCACGCGGCGACGAACAAATCAAGAAAGACATGGAGGAGTTCGACTGGAGCATTGGCGACATCCCTGAGAGCAAGGATCTCCTGAAGAAGACCAAAGTGGACGCAGCTGCAGTTTCTTGCTCCGGAGAAACCAAGAAGACTGGGCGCCTACCAAGCAGGCCGCCTAGTACGTTGGTAGCCCGAAGAGCTGCTTCCGCTCTGTCCCATACTTTTGCGAGGGAACGAAGCATATCCCGCCCACAGGTGAATAGCAAGCCCTCTTTGACGGCCGTTAACAAAGGCAGTCTTTTTGCGCGCAAGCCCTCGCTATCAAATGCAAGTCACGCCAGAACCCTGTCGAAGGACCGTCCAATTTCTAGTGCAACATCCCGAAATACTCTAGGATACAGCAGAGGCAGATCTGTTTCCGAGGCTGCAAGGCCAGCTAGCGCTGCTGCCAGCAATCAACAGCAATCTGGGCCAAGGCCTCGCCCTTTCGCCCGCACCAGCAGCTTGGTGTCCAATGGGTCAGACAATACCATCACCCCGGCTCGGTTTGCGCAGGCTCAGACCAAACAAGATTTTCAGAAGCCACTCGGGCTGCTTTCCATCTTCACCCATGATGAGGAAGAAGAGCACAGTGACCATGAGACTGTGCCTCATTTCGATGATTCCGATGATGATTTCCAGCTTTCAACCGATTTCTGAGCAGAGGCGTTCATTGGAAAATCGAGCACTTGCTGAGTGACTTTTTCGTCAATTTTTCTACACGAGTGGCGTTGGTTTATTGATTTATCTATTTTTTGTTACGGAGTTCAGAGACTGGACGATGAGATGAATTATCACAATGGTCAGTCGGCTGGTTTGTCATGGTTGGTCTGGCCAATTCTTTTACGCACTATGCAACATTATGAGCGCCGTTATGGTTGGGAAAGGAATGGTTCCATGGTGTTTCATCTTCATTGTCGGAGCAAGCATGGATGATTTGGCGTTTATTCGGAAGAAAGTCAAATAAATGACCGTAATGATGATGTTCTCACGGCTTGTTTGGTGTTGGGCGTTGTCAACCGTTAGGCTGTCATATGGCAGAGCAGGGAACAAGGGAACCTTGTGGTTCTTACTGTATTTCAACAATCAGACGCTTTTTAGCCCTGTGTAAACAGTAGAAAGCGCGTCTTTTGTAGTTAGCTTGAATTTTGAACAAAATACAGTTTCCGGTCGTCGATTGTGGGTGATAATCGCCACATAGTTTGAAGCCAACAGCTTCGAAACAAGTGTTCTTCAGACTTCAATCCCTTTGTGGTGATGGAGATCAACAACAGAGTTGGGGATCGTTGAAGCTGCAATGACGCAGTTGGTTGTAAATTAAGAACTGAAATGGTAAACCAACAGTGGAACACAGTGACTGACATGTGGATGCCCCTCCACCGGGCCACTTTGCGCTTTCACGCTCCTGGCGGAAGGTAGCGGACGCGACAAGGGAAATGAAGCGCGACACGGGCTTTAATTGTTGATGCACAGGCCAGCTTGATGCTTGGCGCAGGACGAACCTGGGAGTATCTTTCCGTTTTTGGCTTAGCAAATCCCCTTATCCGCCTGCCGCCATGTTGCCCTTCCACTCTTGTTTCAACTTTCAGCGGCCGGCGCATCGAAGAATCCATGGTCCACAACCCGGTCTGCGCTGCCCATGCCCTTGTGCCCTTGACGCACCTCCTTTGGAGGAAGAACACTCTCAAACTTTCGACTTCATTCAATCCCGCCACGCTTTTGCACTGCTCACAACGAACCATCGTCTCCCACTCAGCGTTTTCCGTGTCGCCGATGTCAGCAGGGCTCGCCGTCTCTATTTGATCCAGATTCATTCCTTCCTTCGCACACAATCGAGCTCACCACTCCACGCCCTCATTCGCTGCCCCGTTCACCACTCAGCCACTGCAGTCACCCCCCCGTTCAGCGTTCAGCGTCAGCGCCCGCCCTGATCGGCAAAAGCTCAGTCCCGCCCGTCCTGTCGCGTGGTTCTCTCTCGCTCTGCACGCGCGCGCGATTCTGCCCTTCACAAAAGTTATCGCAGCTCACGTCGCCCTCGACTTCGGCCACGTCCCAGCTCAATCCGCCCGCATCGATCCCCTCATGCATGCTATCTCGCAGTTTCGCCGACTCGAGTGATGATGGTAGGAGGAAGGCGGGAGAGGTAGACGTTCCCCATTCTCGCAATGTCTCGGTCGTCCGGCGCGAGTTTCGCTCAGTTCTTCCCCGCCGCTCCGCGGGCTGCCAGGGACAGAGCTACGGAGCGAGAGCGGGCAAGAATGAGAGCGCAAGCTTCTCCGTCCACACAGCCAGTTGACACGAACGGCCATCACACTCCCTTGTCCTCATTCACTTCCAACCGATCTGATGACGGAGCCAGTCCTGGCCGCTCACACATAACCTCTCTCAATCACAGCTCATCCGCCGGTGCTGACGCAACCCGCCCTCCGCTTGAAGATACCGAGTCGCTGCCCGGCGACACGCTAAACACGGTTGGCTCTGCAAGCTCGCATGCAAGCACAAGCTCATCCATCTTCAGTTCCTCCACGCGACAGCCCGCCATGGCCTCAGCTTCAGTGAGGAACTCTCACACTCACAACTCCACCACCCCTCTCACAACCGCCGACTCACCGTCATCCTTATATCTCTCTACATCCCTTCATGCGAAGCCGCACTCTGTCTCGCCCCATCATGCCGACAAGCAAAACGGCCTGACACCGACGCTCAACGGCTCGGCCACTGATTCTCTCGTCCCACTCCCTGACGGTACCGAACGTGTCCCGCCCCGCGACCCTAGTCGCTCCGTCTTGTGCACCATATGCACATATGATCCTCTCCTGGACAAAAAACTGTCGAGCTCCGAAAAGAAAAAGGCGAAACCTATATACAAGGATTATGGCTTGGTACGTACACTGAACACGTCGGCGTGGAAGGGGGGAGAGCGTCATCTTTGTGAATCAATTGGCTAATACTGCTTATAGAACGATGAAGATGACGCTCCCCCTTCAGATCCACGCCTGGCGCACGGCGGGAAACTCAGCTACATCAACGTCAACTTTCACCTCCCTAAAGCCCAATTGATTGATGCGCCGAGCAACCTGAAGCCCTATCCATATGACCCCAAGACCTCCTGTGGCCCGGGGCCCCCAGTCCAAATTCTTGTGAGAGGCTTCAATCCTTTGATCGCCTTCACAAAAGTCACCACCATATTCGCATCATTCGGCGACATCGCGGAAAGCAGCAACAAGATGCACCCAGAGACGGGAAGCTATCTCGGCTTCGCGACGATTCGGTACAAAGATTCGAAACCGACCTCTTCACGACCCGTACCTGTTCCTGCTCATCAAGCTGCCAGGAGAGCTGTCCGAGGAATGCACGGGAGGAGGATAGAGGCCAACCAAGTCCGCGTCGAGTTTGACCCCGAAGGCCGAAAGAGCAAGGCCTTGATGGAGGCTGTTCTTAAAAAGAGTAGGGAAACATCGCAGACCCCGAGTGCTGCCTACAAGATTCCTACCGGGCCTAAACCAAGAGCTGGTGAGGTCATCCCTGGACCTCCGCCAACAGCCCCCAAAGGTCCAGCAGCGCACCGGGCCCTTGGAGGCTCCGAAGCCGGTTGGACCTCAACCAAGCCTCGACATCCCAGCATCATCGAAACCGAACCGATCGTTAATCATATCAAGAGCGAGCCGTATATTTTTGTGGCGCATGAGTATGTTCCAG